AAGTGAAGTAGAGCGGCCACTGTTTGTTTAGAAAGAACGGTGACTGCTGAAAAGATTAGCGTAGTTCCACCAGAACTGAGAACATTTCTTCTCTTCTCTTCTCCTGACTGATTTCAGCAGGAGTTTGATTTACCAACTGGCTCCGTTCATGTGATTGATTGAAGTTAGCCCCTGATGGTCGGTGACAGACATGTAGCTCATGCAGTGTCTGCTCTCCTCCAAACAATTATCAAGGACAGCTTGGATGATTCCGTGTGACAAAGAATCTGGTGCGGCCATGCATGTAAATTGCAAGAATACGATCAAAATAAACAAAAACACATTTTCCAAGGTCAATTTAAGTGTGCATGCAGACAAAAATGTGTCAGAGGCGTAAATTATAACTTGTCAATGTTGGGATATATTTTTAAAGCAGAATAAGTTGAATTCCTCTTAGTTTAAACTATTCCCTCATGGATCTTTATTCTAGTGAAATTAAATCCTTCAATAACATGCCGTAACAGCTCCGCATTTGAATATTTTCCCTTTAATTATAGACTTCATCTCTTTCATGCATGGTCTGTTCACTATTAAAAGTGAGTCACAGGTGTTGAATTGATGGAAAGCATTGAAAGTAACTTCAGCCTTTTATCTGTTCATAATGCAACACAGGCAGCCACGACACCGAACCTAACCCAGATAAATACTATAATTATCACTCCTGCCTCTCAAAGCTCAGCCGTCTGTTGATTGTCTGTTGTATCCATCATGCCGACTCAAACGCAGGGATGCGCACGTAGCAGCACCAACAGACACTCGCACACTCCTCTTGGTGTGCCACATTTGTATCCATCATAGCAATTTAAAGTGAGATTTAGGGCAACGTCCTAGCTGGGTAACCGCACTGTGGGCGAGTCCATATTAAATTGTCTACTGAAGTGGGCCAGATTGTGTTTGGCAGTCTACCCATTCATCTATGCTAATGCCCTTTCTGCTTCCATCCATTTCATGAGCTGAAGGGGACGGAGCCCGGGAGAAGAACATAAGGGGAGGAGAAACTAATGAAACATAAAGATTTGTGGGAAAAAGTAGATGGTGAAAAGGGGTAAATAATGATAAAGTGGAAGAAATTATTTGTAGACCGTGAAACCTAATGATGTGATTTTTTGTTCTTGGTTCACTATATGTGATTAACTACATTGTTATTTCAACATTTGCCAATGTTTTGAACGAGCAGGCCCGCAGCTCCTTCTGTAAGAGCAATACGGACCAGACGAGACCTAATGGGATGAAACGGCATGCCGTGTACAGTACATAGCAGCAGCTATCTTAACAAGGCTCTCTAGTAATGAGCTGCAGAGGCCGAAAACGCATGCGCGAGTGGACACACGTGCACGTACACCAGCCTAATGTGCTGAGATACTATCTGTGCGCTCTCATTTTGCCATTACCACTTTTAAGTGTTTGTTACTATGGCAACAGGGTGATTTATTTCCCAATTAAGAGTTAGTGAACTTGCTCACTTACGGCCAGTAATATCAAGGCACACATAAATTACCTTCAAGCGTGAATCGGTCTATTTGCTATTAAAAACAACTGAGAAATATATCAATTTCTTATCTCCGCAACAAGTAAACTTCTGTAAAGAGTTTGTTTCACTGTGAGTTATAATACAGCAAATAAATATGCTATCGTAGTTCTGTGTCACATCTAATTGGCGATTAATGCGCTCGCTAAAAAGGATAGAATTCAGAGGTCTTCACATCCAATAACAACCTCTTTCATCCATCTCGCCCAAAATGAAGATAAACAATACACGGATGGAGGAAAGAGTCTGCAAGCAGGTGGGAATGTAATGGAATCAATTAGGCTAACACTCGTGATTTATATTCTGTGTTGATGACAAAGAAAGCTGAATTCACTTTATTCCACGCTCTTACTGATACCATTTGTTTCGAATGCCTATGTGAAGATAATGCATGAATCCCAGTGCCTTTCGTGACAACTAAATTGAGCTGCGGTGTTTGATAGCAGTGTATAAATGTGTGTGTTTAAGGCAGATGTAAAATAGAGTTATTGTTTCTCACTGTAAAATATTAATGCATGTATGAGTACAAAGACAAATTCAGTGTGGAGTCAATTATATTTTCTGTTTGTATGTGTTTCTCATTGTGCAATTCGTCTTCATGTTGAGCTGAATATTTTGTGCATATCTAAGGGGGTATGGACATGAAAAAGAAAGACCCTTGCTCACTGAAGTTTGCAGAGGGTTGCCAAGCTTTCTTCTGTATTGAAACCCCCTCTTGTCTTTGCTTCTTTTTTTCCATTCCCTTCATTCTTCCCCCCCCTCTTCTCCGTCTCACTGCAGTGTTTTTGAGGAGTAGAACTCGTTTGGCCCTATCTAATGTCCCTGGCATTCGCTTGGCTCTGCATCTCTGTTTTCCTCCTTCCAGCTTCTTCCCACATTCTGACCATGCCATCATCATGCATGGCTTCAACTGCAATTACCTGTATCATAATGCCTTCACACACACACACACACACACACACACACACACACACACACACACACACACACACACACACACACACACACACACACACACACACACACTCACACACACACACACACACACACACACACGGCAGAGGCATCTACATCCAGATGTTTTCATCATTGCGCCACTCTTTCACCCCAGTAGCCTTCTTAATAAAGATGGACCTGATGGATAATAATTTGACAGACACCAATTGATCCAAGGAAATATTGGATTGTCAAATTCCCGTTCTTATAAGCCCATTCACTTTAACCTTTGGGAGTACTGACAATACACATGTCTGTTAGTGTATTTCTTAATTTCATGACTGTTTTTTCCTTATTGGTTGTGGAAAAGGTTTCCTTTACGTGATTGGGCAATGTGAGATGCATGTAGTGGTAAAAAACATTCTGTAAACAATTGTCTTGTGCTAAAAGCCAGGTCTCAGTGGTTGACCCTGAGATGTAGAGATAGAAAGATTTAGGGTTTGCAGCTGTGTTTGGGGAAGGGGGTTAACTTGTTCTCACAGACCTTCGATCAGAGGAGCGTTGTGTGTTAGCTTCACCTGAGTTCTTATCTCAACTTGATTTGTGGCTTTTCGTAACTGGCACTAAGAACTGTCTTCAAGTGTATAAAAACTCAGCGTTTTTACTGCTCGGAGACGCCATTACACAGAACGCTGGAATACGTGCTGGTGTGTTTGACCTCCTGCTTGCAAGCACTAGTTGGAGCCAGATATCTGCGGAGAATTGCTCATGTAATCTTTTTCTCTTCTAAATAAATGTTAACTTTTTGACTTTAATTGATCAACGTGCTGGATTCTTCTCATCAACCGACTCCGGGGATCGGAGATCCTGACAGCAACATAAAGTCCCACATGAACACTGACCAAAGTTTGCTTTGTTTGTGCAATGTGTTCTATGGGAAGCCAGCCATATTAGGATTGTGTACTGCCCAGTGTTGATAAGTCGTATCTCTCTGTACAATCTGGTACAAACTGTCCCAGAATCGCATTAGCTCCAATGCAAATCTTTTATTTGTGTCTCTGTCTCAGAATCCTTAAGACAAAGTTCCTGAGATCACTCCTTTGTCCCTCCCGTTCTATTTTTCATTACAACTTTATCCTCATTTCATACCCTCAAACCCCTCTTTAAACTTACGTCTCTTGGAGAGAGGAAAAAAAACAAAACTAGGTCTTGGGTGATCACCAGAAAGTTTCTGACACACAGAATCACCCTTAAGCTGGTGTTGAATGTTTCAAAGCAGGCTGTTTTTTTTCTTCGGAGGAGGATAAGACGGCTCTTGTGTCTGCTTGTCTGCCGGGGCTTTGGCGGTAGAGGAGAGGCAGCAGCTACCTGCTCTGCTCTCCCCTCTCATCTTTTCACACTAATTAGAGGGAGCTGGGTTTAAACCTTAGTGGGGACACACATTCCCTGACTGCACATAGGTGGGCGGGTAGAGTCATCTATATTCATCAAAGTTGCTTCATGAAGACCCCGTTTAATCTGACTGTGTCCAGAAACATATTTTTGGGTCAAGATATTATTAGAAGGAGTGAAACACAATGTGCCAAGCATGTAACATGCATGAATAGTGTGCACTGCGGTGCCTCGCAGGCTATCATAAGGAGGGGGCTTAAGCAGTGTGCTCTCTAGGTCTAATCAAGGCACGCATTTCAAAGGCGAGAATGCCAATTAAAACTGATGGGGCTCTATGTGGGCTTTTGGGCTGCAACTGCAAAGAGCAACGCATCCAATATGAATATCGATCAGCTCCCTGGGTCCTGGTTTGAAGGAGTGGTTGGCCAGCCAATGATCCAAGGCGGGCTGCTGATGAATACACAGGATTTACAAGGCGGTGTGTCAGGGGCACGAGGGGGGGGGAAGACTTGCAGGGTCATGGAGAGAAGACCCAGATTTGGCAGTCGTCAATGAGCACGTGTGTGTTTGCGGTGTGCGTTGAGGATCAGAGGGCCTCTGATCTCAACTCCCGAAGGTAGATGGAAAATTAAGTGAAGGGGCTGATGTTCTCTCTATGAGGGGAATGAACTTCAGAGTGTTAGGATCAGTCAATGTAATATCCCAAGCAGGTTTTAACCTACTTTATTTGATTTGCCATTAAGAGTCCATACATTTGTTTAATGAGAGGACATACAGTCCACAGTTGTCACATTAAACGAATAGTTGGATATTCTGGGAAATAAGTATCTATTGTCTTGCAAAGACTGAAATGACATGATTGAAGCTAATGAGCTGCATCCAGAAGTGTGAACATCATATCGCTTACACATTTATGCATCAGTACTAACCCATCCTATAAAAACAACCTGACATTTTTCTGCAGAAAAGTCTTCGAAGACATAGAATACGTTAAGGCGACACTATTTACTAAGGACTTTTAAACGGTATTCCTGTTTATTGACTAGTACTTTAAATTAAGTAACCATAAACTTATCAAACTGTCATCATGGAGGCAACAAACATATTTTCAAAGTGCATGAACGTCGCTTTAATGGATAAACATGGCACTGAACACATGACACATACAAGTAAAAGTAAAATGCGCAGAGAAAAGAAAACTACATACACTTCATCACTAATATGTAATCAACACATTGACATATCTAACTAAAAGCATTCAATAAAGATAGTAAAATGGTTGCAAAAGGTTCTATTCATGGTACAACATTTATTGCAAACTTTTAGAACTCAGGGACAGTATCACACTTTCTCCTTGAAAGGCCGCAGAGGAGCTGAATGTCAAAGCGAGCATTTCTTGCCACCATCCACAGCATAACGCTGTCGGTCACACTCTGCTTAGGGAAATTAAGGGGATGTCCAATACTTTGTGACGTGTGTGTCTGTGTGTGTGTGTGTGTGTGTGTGGGGGTGCGTGTGTGTGTGAAGGCTAATACACTCTGACAAGCTGCTAACATATTTGTTGTCATATTGTTTGGCATCATTAACTAATAAAGATTGATTGCCCTTTGTTTCCCGTCAATGAGTGTTTGTACCATTGCCCTGTGTGGTGTGTGTGATGTGTGTGTGTGTGTGTGTGTGTGTGTGTGTGTGTGTGTGTGTGTGTGTGTGTGTGTGTGTGTGTGTGTGTGTGTGTGTGTGTGTGTGTGTGCAAAAGAGAGACAGAAGGAGAAGGACAGGGAAGGGTTTTTGAAAAGCTCATGGCTTTCCTTTCCATAGATCCGATTCTGGCTGGATCCAACCTTCTCCCATGATGCTTTGCAGGCTGAAATTCTGGAAATACTCCAGGCGGTGGCTAACAAATAGAGGGAGAATTTACTGAATACACACATTCAGTATATTCTGCATCTAATTTGAGGGTAATTACTAAGGCAGTGGGTGGATAATAGTTGACTATTCTAAAAGGTACAACTTGGCCTGTCAAAACTTATTTTGGTCCGTCAAAAACTTTCCAACATAAATATCAGTATCATGAGATGTGTAACTACAGCAGAATATACATTAGATAATGATTATGTCACAAGGGGTGTCTTGGCTTGAGTTTGAGTCGAAAATGTGATACCCCTTCAGAACAAAACATTTTCACTATAAATAATATCTATGTACGGGACCCAAACAACTGCACTGATAGGAATCGGTATACTCACAAGTTGGGTTTTAGGCCTTCCACTATCTCCTCCTTGGGGATGGAGTAGAGAGCCTCATACGTACGCTTCTCTCCTGAGCCGTGAATTGCGTAGGAGTTCATCTTGTTGATGTTTGGAGGTAAGTAGGACCAGGGCAAGAGAGCCTCACCCATCCACCTGTCCCCTGTGATCGTGGCATTAAACACCATGGGCAGTTGTTGCTGGAGAAAAAAACAACACAATTAAATATTTCAAAACTGAACTGTGCCCCATTCAATAACTCCCTCAATGTCTGCCTACCTGGAATGCTTTTCCAACTCCTGATAGCAACAATATCAGGTGCTGTCCATGTCTAAAATGAAAACACAGTTTGCATGTTGGATGTCGTTGCCATGCGGTCACATATGATGTCACACCAGTTTAGCTCTGTGCTTACGGACAAAACTCCACTTCCAGGTAATTCTCTGTGGTACTGTCAAGGAAGAAGGACTCCACAACTGAGGGAATGAAGGAGATGGACCATTAAATCAACAATAATCAAATAATTTGAGTGATATGTTTTGACTTCTAACTCAACTGAACTATGTAAAAATAAAAGAAAACTTTAACCAAGATATGAATACAAGCACAACGGCTAACCCAACAGCATTCTCATTATCTTCCTAGATTATAATGGGGTTGGTTTCCAATCTAATAAGTAACATTAATGAGGTCAAATATGTGGGGCTCATTAACTGGAAATCAAACTTACTACAGGTCAATTAGATAGGGTTGTTATTACTCAACCTCATCATAGGGTTTAATTGTTGTGTCACCATAATAATGATAATGCAATTACTATTATGGCCTCATAAACAGAGTTAGTCCACCGGCTCTTAAACCTCATTGGAATATAAATTGTATAACACCTTTGAGATTGGCCTGCAATTGCATCATACAGACTAAATCCCTAAATCATGACTGCAATAACTAGGTGACTGTGGGGCGGGAACCATAAAAGCATCACCTGTACTATATAACCCAACCTATTACAATAGGCCATAAATGTTTGTGAAGTTTATAAACTTCATTTTACCAACACAACAAAGTCTGGAGAGGGACTTCTTTTTATATGTTTTATTATTATAATCAGCAAAAAGGCTTAGAAATATTGTGTAATATGTTCAATTACTTCCTTGTATTGTAAGTTAGCTGAGAAGATTGATAACGGATATGATGCTGGAGCTGAGAGACAGTTAACCTAACTGGACATAATGACTGGTAACTGGGGAAACCACAACTTTATATTTAATTTTATTATCTAGATCTTAATAAGAGAGCAAAAAACTGTTAAAAAATATTGAACTGTCTTGTAGCTGTGCAATGGATTCAAATAACTGGATTAACATGATTTAAATAAAGTTGCACTATTAAAAACCTTTGTGCACTATTGATCTAAACTCCACGCATGTCTTTAAATATTACAAAGAAAATATTTCCAGAATACAAATATTTGATGATCACACTTTTACACATTAACTATCTATGTGTGTGCATGTGTAAAACGCTGTGTGGTGCACTAGAATATAAAGAGCTTTTTGCCTGAGCTCCTCCTGTTTTACCCACCTTCGTAATCCCAGAGTCCAGGAAAGGGCTGACTAGGGGGACCTGCGGGGGCTGCTGGCTCATTGAAGAAGGGTCCAAACATCTCGATCTTCAGCCCTCCTTCCCCAGGAGAGAAATCGATCCTGATGGGGTCATGATTCACAGGATCGCTGTCCCAAGTGTGCTGGATCACAAACTGCATTCGCCTAAGAGGACTGAAAGACAAATGTAATCAGAATGGGAATCTACCATGCAACACAACACAATGCCACGTTGGAACCCACTACAAACCCACAGCGATTCACAGCATAGCAGAATGTGGATAAGTGTCAGACACTTTAGAGCACGAACTACCCTCATGTTGTCTAAAAAAGATTCACTGGTTAAAATAGGGTCAAATGGGCTCCTGCCGGGCTTCTCGTGTATCCACGTAAAACCTGCTGGGCTCTTTATGCTGTTTGTTATCAGATGAGGTTACTGAGAAATACAGGTCTGTTACTCAATAACTTATCTATTGTAAAAAAATAACTTCCTGTTAGGGAAACAAATTATATGGTGTCCTTGTGGTTTAAGATTAATTTACTCTTTTCAATCCTCAAATACCGTAAGGTAAACCAAATTGGAATTTTGTTAGCAAGGCATATGAGCCTAGCTGAGAATATCAGGAAAAACTTACGTTTTATCAATCTTACTTTTTGACGGACCAGTGTAACCGAGGCTTGTGTCGCGTTATACTTTATATTAGTAGCGAAATAATAACACGGGGCTCTGTAGTCTGCACTACAATTCCCCTTCGTTACACGCTGATTAACGTTACACTCGTAGAAATGTTTTCCCTTCAAAATATAAGTTCCATCACATCCACTTAAACCCTCCAGCTTCACAGGGAGTTCTTAAAGTAACTCAACATAAAAGCTCACACCAGCAAAGTGAAATCAAACGGATAAACGGAAACTAAGAGATCGGCGAGGATTTAGCCTTCAAAAGCGAAACTTCCCTCTTCAGAGCGGAACATTTCTCACTTCCTGTCGTAGCGACGGAACCATTTAACGGGTGCTCATCCCCTTTGCCATTGGCTGTTATTTGTTTGTTTCAACACGGACGGCGCCAGCGAATAGTCATTTAAACAATTATGGTTTTCTAGATGTTGTTCTGCCACCGATAAGTGACGTCTTTCTCCGTAACCTTTTGTTTTGAAGTTAGCCATTTGTTTCACAGACCATGACGCCGGGTTAGCTAAGTAAGCTTAGCTGAGCTTGATTAGCTGCCACAGCTAACGCTAACTGACGTTACATGCACACGGTAAACATAGGGAGCGTAAACGTCAGTGCACCACACCTCATATATGTATAGCGGCTTTGTGTTCTAGAGACAACCGCATAGAACTTTTGCTTCGAAAATATCGGTTGACATAAAGAACGTGTCTGATTCTATCGATAGCATTAATAAGTTAACAACCTGAAGGTTAGGGGTAATCGTTCAACTCACAAGTTGTTTTGATTGCATCCAACGCTAGACAACGCCTTCAATCATGGAGGCAGAGGTTGAGTTTTTACGTGATCAAGGTAAGGACACATTCCCGAGGACACCCACTAGCAGGTTATCGCGTCCTTCGGAGTCGTCCAGCCCAAAGCTTCCCCCGAATGTGTTCAAGGAATGATCAGCTCGGTCCGAAAGGAGAGCGATAAAATAAGACATAACCTGATGTCTGAAGACACGCTCGTTTATATTGTTGATCATGTGTTTGAAGTCGTGTCAATATGACAAATGATTAGCCTTGCATCAACACAACTATTATGAATCAATAATCTGGGGTTAGACTGCCATATAGTTTTAAATGAATACAGAAAATATCCTGATTTTGCTGCATGACAAGCTCACCAAAGCTAATGGAATATCTTCTCTAAAACTTCTAAAGGTCTCACAATGATCCATACATGACTGTTCAGTAATTGGATGTCACAGTCCAGCACACTCAGACACCACAATAAGGGTCTTATCAGGACTGTTCTGCATTCAATAATTGTCTTGTTGCTTATGTGTGCTTGAACCATGAAAAGGTTTGATATGGGATTTTATGTGCATTGTGATTAAAAACACCCACAATCGGTTTATAATTGTGAATTGATTAGTATCTTTTGCATTTATTCATACATGGTGACTTTATAATTATCATATTTTGGTTTGTTTTTTATGTATATGCAATAGTGTAGCAACTTGTGCCTTTTTTCAGTTCACAGACTAAATTCTGTTCTCCGTCAGTACCAGTATGAACACCGCACTCAGTCAACACCATCTCAGGTAAAAAGACATTGGTTATTGAAACTATATCAACAGACGTGGCACATTTTCTTGTACTTTCAGTAAGAAAAATGTTTTCAAATTACTTTTTATTTTGTTTGGAAATTATTTGAAAAGATATCTCATATATGTAGGTAAATTCAATTATTAGGAATATTTAGTATTTACAGCTGGACACTCTAACTCTAACTTACATGCTAACTCTCAACTCTGGCATCTCTGCTCATCAGCCTGAGGAAGCAAGACCTCCTTCACCCTGGATCTCAGATAGAAGGTCAGTATTTCCTATGACGGTCAACATATTCTTGTTCCAAGGCAGAGAGACTAAAATTGTCAGTGAATACGTGCGCACTGGACAGCCAAGTGCTTTTGACACAAGTGGCATGATTCCTCCATCTGTGTTACAGTATAATGGCTCCTCTGATAGTGGAGTACGATCAGCACATTGGTGAAATGACTGAACAGCTGCAGAGATACCAGGTGAAAGAAAACACTCAAACAATGACACACAAATTCAATTCGTACAGCCAAATGAAATATTGTACAAACATATTAAATATTGGGACGCCATCTCGGTGATGTATTATAATAATGAATATACTGTTGATACGGACTCACTCAATATCTTTACTTCAGTATCTTAGGACTCACACAGTAATAACTGAATAATGTACTATGGTATAGTTTTCTGCCACACCATCCATTCAGTGCCGTGTCTCCACACCGCCTTCGTCCATCTCCTTTTTTGATTATATTTTTTTCAAATTAAATGAATGAAGTCTTATTCATTTCTTGAAATATCTATGGTAAATTAATAAAGTCTTAATCATTTCTATACAGAGGGATTTTTGGATAAAAAGAGAGGGAAAGTAAACAAACCCAGAAATACCAAATGCATTACTCTGCCTATCAAGGACAAATCCCTTTAAAGCCACATTCAAAGTATTTTTCAGTTTCTTTGTGTTTTGAGTTTGTAATTACATTCTTGCACTCAGTAAGACTTTAAAAAATAGTATTATATAGTAAGACCAGAATGGCAGGGTTATTCTGATCTTCCTTTCAAATATTCTCAAACCTATAAAATGCTAACAATGTAAAATAATTAGAGAATTAAAGTAAACTTTTAGAATTGTGATACCATGGCGGATAGATCTGCAAACTGGGGGTGAATGTCTGATCAGTCTGATCACAATATGAACTGATGCTGCTTTTTGCCAAATGCATTATACAAATTCCAAACAAAGATAAACCATCTTATTATACTCATTCAGAGTAATCTATTAGTTCCAGAAAAAGCTTGACATTAAATTTGATTGGCCTTGAAGCCGGTTTGAATTTAAATTGGGATTTGAACAAATATGTAACATGCTGTTTATGTCAGCCATAGGTATCATGAAGAATTCTGTTTTTCAATGTCCACCAGTTAAGGTGGGATGGAGGCCGGGTTTAGACAGTTCATCATCACATCATGTTGTAGAAATGGAAAGTACAGTGTGAGGAGGTGGTAATATATTTCATGAATAATATATCAATATCAATTCTTTAAAGGTGCAAAAATTGCATTGCCAATGGATGTTAGGTTTGACAATACAACATTTGCCAGATTCAGTGCAACTTCAACACCCACATACTTTCTGCTATCTGGACACAAGATACCAAGACAGATCTTTTTTTTTGGGTTGAACAGATATAGATTTTCTTCCTCTACACTTTCTTTTCCAGATCAGCAAATCAGGCTTGGGATTTTATTACAGGTACCCTCAAATGTCATAACTAATTAATAACTCTGGTCTTCTTGTTTAAATCCACAGGGGCTGATGTCAGATGTCAAAGTGAAGTTGGAGACGATTGTTGAGGAAAATGAAAGGTAGGAAGACTTTCACTGGTTTTAAAGTATAGGGATGCGATACACAAGAGGAGGTAGAAGCAATCTTTACCACTTTGGTCAACTTCAATCAAGCTTTTCTGTCATAGCACATATTCTTAAACCTATAGATCTATGGTTATTATACAGTTGAGAGACTCTTGATGATTTTTAATGTCGCACCAAATTAGGTAACCGTGAGATAGTTGAAGCAGTAGAGTGGTAATGTTAGTTTAGTTGTCACTTGTTTCTTTGTTGATAATGAAGGCATCTTGACCAATTGGGTTGCAGCCAAATAGTGTATTTGGTCAGTTGTTGTAGTTACAATTATAGTATTGCTTTTCTTAAATCAAGAACTATCGCTTGTATCGTTCATTTGTATAAGTCACCGTTTATTGATATGAACCTGCAACTTTGCCAGGCTACATGCAGAGCTCAGGGAGGCGGTTGAGAAGCAGCTTCATGCCCTGCCTGCGGCTTCAGGAGCGGAGGGCGGCATGACGGAGGAAGAAACGGCCATCCGAAACCTCCGAGAACAGGTCCAGCTGTTTGATCAGGTCTGCGTATGGCTAAACATACATGTAGAATACGGTCATATTCAGTTTGCGGCACATATACGAGTAAAACTTTAGATAAAAACACATTATTGGGTTACACACACGCTCGCCATTCTCCACTTGAGCTACGGGAGCTTTATCTTAGTATTTAAACTCAATTTGTAAAGACAGACATCAAAACATCCACGAGCAGTTCTTTTTTGACATGCATCAATGCTTGTGTGTGTGTGTGTACAAACGTGTTTGCATGCATTTTTGCGTGTAATTGTGAAGGAGCGGTTGCAGGCCATGGAGCTGTGGCAGACTGCAGCCCAAGAGCTGGACCTCCTCCAACAGACCTACCAGAAGAATATCTCCGATGGACAGATGCATGATACTCAGAGACAGCAGCTCAAGGTTCAGTATTTTGGCTTAAACATGCACGTGTTTTGCCAGTAGATAGAGCCATTATCATACAAATGAGGTTAATCAGATTAGCTTGTCCTCAGATAATACTTTATATACCGCAAGCATCAGGTAATTGCAAGCAGTTAACTTTTATTGAATGCCTCTTTTTTTCCTGTCACAGGATCAGCTCGTTCAGTTCCAGCAGCACACACACAAACTTCAAGTGGCCAATCAGAAATTGGAATCAGTAAGTGATGGTTAATTAAACAGCTTGTTAAATGATGGCCTCCTAATTAGCCGTGGGATTGAAATGCTGCACAAAATGCTCTAATAATTCATCTTGCAACTAAGTGAATTGGTTTTCCAAATCATTGTGGTAGTTAGTTGTCGTGGTATGCGATGGACTGTCTCGCTTGGGAATCCATTTAGAGTCAAAGTGTGTGGTTTTGTTTAGACCGTTTATTGGAGATTAAGGTATACGGTATCCATATATTTTATATATTTTTTTATATCATATATTTATACATTAAGGCGAGAAAATGGAGCACAGATGAACCCATGCAAGTCTTGTGCTCAGGAGAAGATACAGGAGGAGAGGGTAATAGAATATCCCTCTGATGCATATTTGATGAGAGGGCGAGCCCCGGGCTTTGCATCTCCTGACTCCTCATACAAGCAGCATACTTTAGTCACTGTATGTTAGAGCGATTGATTTGTAACCATTACTGACACATAAGAATCTTCTCTAGTTTCGCTCGGAAAGGGCTTAAAAGTCCAAAAAATCATGCCACACAAATGGCAGTCTTGTCTTTGTTGCCACACACAGACTAACCAGCAGTTTCTGAAGACGGTGACGGAGCAGAGCACGGAGATGGAGGAGCTGCACAGCCAGCTCAGGTAACCGAATCCATCATATATTCAAAATGGATTCTGCCAGCTTTCTTGCTTTGTGAATGTTCTCTTTGAGGAAACTTTGAACCTTTGGACGACAATCGTTTGTGGACTGACAGCTTGAACATTTGTACCAAAATACTGAAATATGCATTATATTTTTTTCTTTGAAGGGAAAATAATGATTTGCTTTTCATTGAAAAGTCTCATAGCAATCATAGATGATGAAATATCTGTTAAAAGCCAGAAAACGGCTACCGCTGTTCTGTATTTAGGTAATTCAATCCACCTGGGAACACGTATATGGATCAAAATTCACTCATTACGTCTCCAAAAAGGCTAATTTATTGTGTAATGACCTAATAACTCAAATGCAAGATGGCAGTCAGGATTCTGTGTTATGCACTCTTGTTTACTCTCTGTCCTCCTGGCGCAGGCAGGCGAAGGCTGAGCTGAGGACTTCCACAGCCAGAGTGGAAGAGATGACCAAACTGCTACAAAATGTGCAGGGCCAAATGCAGAGACGGGTGAGAAAAATCCAGTATGTTACTTCCTTTGCCTAGAAAGGTTCCGTCGATACAAAGGGGAAATCAAACCAATATTTTATGATGTAGATGTACATACTTTGGTTTGGAGATTTTGTCGAGTTGTTCAAATTTACTTATATTTTTAATATGTCTTAACCTTAAGAAATAATTTATGGCCGTAGTTCTCCTTCTAGGACTGAATACATTTTAAATTAGTTTTAATACAATTGAAACATGGGTTGATTGTCTTTCTTAAAGAAAAAAAACTGTTATTGGGTTTTCACTTCACTTGAGCTGGACTGGCCATCGATTGTCACTGTTTACAATTGGAGCAAAAGTATTGATCCAGTTAATTAAGAAGAAATAACAGATGTATGTGCATGTATTCAGGCGGAGGATGTGGTAGAGGCTCAGGGCAGAGAGGAAGCAGCAGACAGACGACTCCAACAACTTCAGGCGGTCTTGAGCCAGCAAGAGGCCAGGTGAGCGCAAGTGAAACTGTTTCTTTGCCTGCCACTTTCCTTTTCTGTAGCAGAGTGTGTGAAATGAATACACCCTGGTGACATGTGCATTCGGATGAGGTGAGAAACTGCAGCAAATTTTACTAAAGTGTTAAGAATTTCAGCATATTTTACAAATGCCTCACTAGACACGATCACACCACATTCAGTTTTTTTTCTTCCTCCATTTGACGTGAAATATATAGCAGCCCGAAAACTATTGCATAACAAAGAATGCCGTTGCAGAGCCTGTGGAAGCAGTGAGATGTCAGAATCTTTTGGGAAGTCACGGAGTATAACATCAAAATGACAGGGCCGCCGAGCCAAGTACTTCCCCGTCCTTTCCCTTGCTGCTGGTACTCACTCGTTTTTCTCTCCTCTTCCAGACTAAAAGCTGCATCTCATGAGGCTGAGGCAGTTCGCAGAGATCAAGCTGTGTGGGAAAGAAAGGTTGGCGAACTCCAGTCACGTTGTACCACACTAGAAGAGGAGAAGTATGAGGCCCTGGCCAAAGTCCGAGAGAGTGTTCAGGTGGCCGAAGAGGCTGCACTGCAGAAAGACCAGGTGACTGCCGTCACTCTCTGTCTCTTCCTCCCCGTCTGCAACACTTTTCTCGCTATTTTTTTTTCTCTCAATCTGTGAAGCTGCAAGATCCTTTGACAATCCATCCTCTGCGTGCACATCCGTTCAGCACTTCAGAACTCAGCACACTGAAATATATGCTGTGCCTGTCTTCACCCTCTCCCTTCAGGCCCTGTTGAGAGAGAAGCAGAAGACAGAGGAGCTTGAGAAGACGAAGGAGGCCATCAAACAGTTGATCCAGGATGCCGCAGTCCGCACTAGAAAGGAGGTGCGGGGGTTACTGAACGTCTGTCGGACGCGTTTGGCTTCTGTAGACGTTCAAATAGTACCGAAACTGAAACCGTGAAATAATGTCAGCCGTGTGGAATGGGCTTATTCTCCAAAAGGTCCTCAATTCAATTTGCCGGACTAAAATGTGCTTTTAACACCAAATGTTTTGCAGCAGAATTAAGAGATTTGGTGCCAACTCCAGTCTAAAATTATCAAAGAATATCTGTAAAAACTTCAGCAACCCTGTAATTTCTGATTCATGATTACTCTTAACACGGAGCCACAACCTTTAACTTCACTGATGTACAAAGCCAAAAGCAAAGCGCTGCTTTTTTCTTCTTCCCAACCTCAGTCGGGGACATGGTGATTAATGCTCAGTTAATGGGTCTTCTTCGTCGAGCCCATAAACGGTTTAATCCTGTTAATGACGCCTAGTATGACTGCAGCTCTGGCTGTCATCTTAGTCCCTGGCTAGCCTTCAACAAATGATGCTATTTAAGAAAGTCACTGATGATGTGTTTGACTTTCTGTAAATTAGAGCCACTCTCGTTGAATTTGCCTTTTTTTTTAACTTCCAGGACCTTTTCTTTTGGAGTTAGAGGTTAAACATTGCAGAAAAAGTCAGGCACGTTTTTACCGTTAATCTTCCATTCCTCTCATCTTTACTCGAGACGAATACGTAACATTGAGAATGAATCCTAAAACTCCTTACGTTTGTAGTCTCATATCAGGCTTACCTGAGGTTTTAAGTACCACTCAAGCAACTATGCACGAGGGTCTGAATTTCCCAAAGTAAAGGTGTTTCTAGACTTTTCCATTAAACCAGCTTGCTTGGAACATTGGCACCCACAAATGAACGCCGTGTACTCTGTGCTATCCTCAACTTTTGCTAAAGAAATGTGCCTGCAGTTAAAATTCAGCATTAGTATCTTGTGCCCACACAAAAACGCTTGTGCATGTGTGAGAGAGGGACATATGCGGCAGATGGTTTTATGGTTAGTATAATGTGCCAAGAAATACAACATGTCAACCATTAGGAGGAAAAGGGAAAAAAGTAGTAAGAAAATATGGATGTAAAGGATGAAGGATTTATTATGAATTAAATGTGTTGTACATAAGTTTAATAGGTAGATGCCAAAGATACACACAGAACTATTGTGTCTTCGCCATCTTTGAGTGAGCAGTTCTACATATGGAGACGGTCGTCTTTACAGAGCCATATTCCTACAGTATTCCTGAACTCCATAAGGCCATTTGAAGGTTCATGTTCTTGCTCCGGTCAAAGTAGTTGTCCTTCCTTCTTGTTACACAAGCCTCAGTTGCAATCTGCCACCTTTCATTTACATTGGACAGGCAGGCCACGTGTCATGTCCTTGCACATTTTAGGAGTCCATGTAGCAGCCTACTCTTCCTTCATCTCAGCGATTTTTGCGCTGCCCCAGATCTTTGGGGTGAAAGGAAAAAAAGGTATCTGCATAAGTGAATCCTCACAGGCTCAGTGTGGTTGATTGGTCCCATCAATATGTTAACCTTCCACAGTGTTTTGACCTAACTTAAACCGCTAACTCCACAACTCGAATGCCCCCCCCCCCCCCCCCGAAATCTATTCAAAGTTCCTGTCTGACATATAGCATTGCGCTGCCCAGATTCCAGTAGTCATTACCATGTTACTTTGTATTCAACAGGTGGATAATGTGCGTAAGCAGTGCAACTCTCAAATTAACCGTATGGCCGAAGAGCTGTCTGCGCTGCAGCTGGTGAGGATCTGGCCTGTTAAGCATACATTCATTTAAACATTACATTAAATCCTTTTCGCAATCTCCACCTGTCTCCTCATGTGTTTTGCTCATTGTTCTCTCCCCCCACCTCTCTCTAGGAGTGTGCAGATAAAGAGTCTCGGATTGAAAAGTCCCTGCGGGAGAGAAAAGCTGTAGAGGAGGAGCTGGAGAAGGTATCTATTAAAGTATCAGTGAAACTACAAGCAAGAAGCTGCTGCACTAAACTCCAGAGTTCTGATAGTGTTTGATTGCACAATGGTAAAATCCTTTTGGTTCTAGGTCTATAAGGACGGCAGGGCCGAGCCAGAGTTCAGGACGATGGATGCCCTTCACCAGAGGTGTCTGGATGCAGAGAGGATGAAGGAAGACATGAGCCTCACTCTGCAGAGCACACAGAAGCAACTGAAAAAGATGGAGATGGAGTAAGTGTAACTTAGCGTTGTATTTGTTCCCCACTAGTTCAAACTAAGCAAATTCTTCTCAGGAAGTTAAGCACTCCACCGTTGCTCCATTCCATCCTCACAACACACGCCGCTGCCAAAAGGGATGGATTTAGAGGATTAAAAAATGTAGTACTCTTCTACAGCTCGGTCTCTCTCCTCCTTTCTTGATCCTTCTGTGCTTGTGTGACAGCTACAGCGAGGAGCTGCTGCGGTGCCAGGAGGAAGTGCGGCGGCTGCAGGGCTCTCTGGCTGCAGCCCGGGACGACTGCGTCGGTGTCAGCGATGAGCGGCTCCAGCTGCAACGGGAGAACCTGCAGCTCCACAAGGAGATGGAGGAGATGCGCAAGGCTCTGTTGCTGGTCCAAAGGAAGGCAAAAAAACAGGTAACCTACTGATGGATGGAAAAGAAATGGAGGAAGAGGGGCTTTCCCTCAGAAACACAAGAAAAGACCAGATAAGGGTTCATTTTGATTTTTGTGTAAAGAAATAAAGGGAAGGAAGTGACTCTGCAAAGCAATAGGTTAAACGAGTGCTGGTCCATTAGAATGATTCACAGGAAGGATGGAAGAAGGGGGTCAGTGGACGGAAATCCGGCTAAAGGAATAACAGTCAATTACTGTTGCTCTTCTGTAAAGATAGTACTTAAAATGTTCTATATTGCACACTTCAGGCACTCAAATGTAGTGGAGCGGAAAAACAGCCACTTGCACCAGACACCCACTTCACTGTAATCAACCACTTAAATAAGGGTATGAAATTTTAAGTTGTTAATGCATCTACATGAGTCTGTATTTAAAAGCATGGTAGCAAAGACTCCCCTCTTTTTTCCACACCATCTATCTGTAAATACTACATATATTTCAGTGATTATTGTGGCTTTTAGACAACGAGAAAAGGGTTTCCGTTCAGTTCAGATCCCCTGCAAAAATAATAGTGAAAATACGTCAGTTCATTGCTTTGCTCCCCGTGCTGCTAGTCTGTCTCTCCCAGCTGGGGGTGTGAGGACTGCCGTCTACAGCAGGTAACACATTGGATTAGTACTTCACGCAACCACACTTCAAAACACCTGCTCTATCTCTTTAAGAAGAGTGGGAGAAAACATGGATCTTTGATTATTGTAACGACGAGTAATAATTGATAATGTAATAATTGTAATATAATATTATGTCGTGGTGCATAATAGGTGCTAATATTATGCAATGATTGCACGAATATTATTAATTTGAATTAGATTCGACAAGATTGTTCATGTGTTTCTTCTTCATCTACCAAAATGATCTTGGACCAGCAAAGTGACCTTAAACACCCGACCTCCCTCTGCTGGTGTCCCTCTAGCTCCTACAGATGGAGCAGGAGTACGACCTTAAGGAGCAGGGACTTGATGCACGCGTGCAGGAGCTGGAGGAAAGCAGCCGAAACTCCAGGGCTGATCTGACGCGCCTCCTTCAAGCACAGCAAAAAAGTAACCAGCGCTTAAAAGAAGAGGCCAAGAACCTTGTATCGGCCTTTGAGACTAAAATCACTGCCCTCAAGTAAGAACTTGTGAAGATTGATTTAACATTACCAAAGTATGGAGAGAAAAAAGCAGAAATGGGCTTCGGGCTTGAAATGTTGCCAGTTACCATCTTAAAAAAGGAATGCCTACTCTAATAATACATGTCAGTGTGATGTGTTTTCCTTTTGCAGATACATTTCAAGGATTGTGGTGCACACTGAGCGATAGATTTCTAGTCCAATCAAACCCTGCATAACAATAACCAGTAGAATGAAAACTAGGATGTCTGACAGAATACAGCACCAACACGGTTATGATTCCACTATGCAAATGTACAAGAATATTCACTATAAAAAGTGCAATTCAATACCTTCTTTCTGCTACTACTTAAGAATCCTTTTTTATTGTATCAGTTATGTCGCTTAGGCTGGATAAAAGACAAAGCAACAGCTAAAGTGGAGCACCAAAGATCACATTTAAAAAGAAATTGACTTACCACTTGTTTTGCCTTCAGCAACAGCTGTACCCCACTGAAATGTGTTGGAAAGAGGGAACATTGGGGGGAAAAAAATAACATTTATATATTTTTCACCTTTGATAAAATAGTTTCTCTCTTTTTATGTCTATTTCAGAGGAGAGCTGAATCGGCACAAGCAGTGTTCACACAAGCTGGAGATGCAGCTTGAAACTTACCACAACACTGTCGCTGAGGTTTGTGTAACACACGCATGCACACAAACAAGCACGCAGCGAGAGTCAGAGATGTGAAGTGTGAAAGGCGGGTAAACTGATGACATTCGGATGGATAATTCTGCTCTTATGAAAATAAATGTTGGATGTTTGTCCTGCAGTGTAGGACAACCATCTTCTACATTTGGAGCAGTGTGCTTAGAAAAGTAGCTGTGTGAACAGGAGGCACTTTACTAGAAGGCTACAGCATCAGAAGTACGTCCGATGGACTTCATCAGAATATTGTCTTGTCATACAGTCACTCATATGATATCGGTTGTAATAACGGCGATGATGGGGGCTGGCAGAGACGGACTGTGGGTCTTGTGCTCAGTCCTAGGTTCAGAGAAAGTACATCGAACTGAAATAAGTCTGTTATATCAGCCTATCTAATAACAAAAAGCACTACGTGGTAATGAATGGGGATAATCTCACTTTTAAATTAAAGTAGGGACGTGGGGGTATTTGTTTAACTTTTAGAAATAATTACGGTTTGACAGTTGTTTTTGTGTGTGTGTGTGTGTGTGTGTGTGTGTGTGTGTGTGTGTGCGCAGTATGAGAGGCAGCTAGAAGAGTATCAGGAGAAGGCGAGTCGTCTTCAGAAACGACTTACACAAGCTGAACTAAAGGCGACTACAGCTACACAACAGGTATGGCCACTCTTGACTCTTACATGGAGGTGTGTATTTTACCCAATTTAAAACCGCCTTCATTCATTGATTGTTCTTTTATCTCAACAGCTGACTATGTTAGCGTCCCAGCGAAGGAAAGCAGCCGCGATGGATCCAGAGACTTTATAACAGCGACTTTATGCGATTGTGGAATGAATATGTAGCTATGTGTGTTTAGCTCGTTTTGGTAATACAGTATCACAATGTTTGCCAAATACATAAGACAACAACAGTGGTGTCTGTGATCTGGTTATTAGATGGAAATTTTCATGCAGTAATGTGCCAAATTTGGTGATTTATATTTATACGTGTTGAACGTGTCTGAAGTGTGGTATGTACAGCAAACTCTGCTACAACTACAAAATAAACCAATAGACCCTGTTCTCTGTTGGACTAAGTGTTCTATTTTTTTAACCATCTTGCCTTCGGGTGAAAGAACAAGCCGAATGTGGCTGCAGGAATGTCACTTCCTAAAACAAGCTCAGTGTGCCGCTGCTTTTAAGTCACACGTAAAATATACATATATAGCAGTTTGTGACCAAACTTTTGACTAATATTTTTCAGTCCACTGCCTGAAAGTCTTTAACTAACAGCTGACGTTATCTTAAAATCATTTATTTTAATCAAAAATTATTAAACTAATTACAACTACCATCAGCCATACTTGCAAGGATCTTAATATGCTGTCACACATTATCAAAATGAAAGGTTTAAAACCGGCAACCTCTAGCATACGGTGGCCAACTTACCGAAAACCCCACTTGTTCAAGACACACAGGTGAGTCTTGGTAAAATGTGCTCGGCTCCTCCTTTGTCCAGCCAAAAAGTAATCATGCTACAGTTTGTCAATGTGAGACTTTTGGACATTTTGTTGTCTTTGCTTTATCTAGGCTGTGCTGAAAAGACGTGTAATAAGGAAACAACCCGGCATCCACCACTTAAAAGACCGTGAGCGGATGTTTTTTCCAGGCTGGGACACTCAGTTGCCTTCATCTCATCAAACAAAGCAGCCACCTGTGAGGTGTGAAAAATTGCCTGTTCACCTACCCTTCCTGAAAGCCAGTGCCAAGGTCAGTGTTTCACAAGAGAATAATCATTGCTTGAAAAATGTCCATATAGTGCGTGATGGACAGATTTCTCAGAAGTGCCTCTTCACCTAAATTGGCGAAATTGTTGAAGTTTCTCGGCTCCCCTACCGGCTCTCAATAACCTGTGACAAAATGTAGTGCAAAGTCAAAATTGTCTCTGATATAGAAGCCTGATATGGAATTTTTGTTAAATCCGCAATTGTTTATTGACTTTGAAAAGGTTCCATTCAATAGGAAATAGCTTTTTCATTGTGTCTCTTCTCAGACGTCCCAGAGTGTGGTGCCAACCTCTACTGTACCCAGTTTGCCCTTTTCCCTCAAGAGCAGTGTACAGCTGGACACTCCCTCTGAATTAAAAGTGATTGAGCACAATGAGGATCAATACACCCTTATAAGTCAGGGTGGTGTGGTATCAGTGAATAAGAAAAAGGTGGACTTCCTAACCTATGAGCAATGGGAGAAGCAGTACTACTATCACTCAAAGCTTACCCGCATCCCCTTGTTTGGCAACGCTTTCAAAGTCTGGCACTACAAAGTTCGAGCCAAGAGATATGAAATGGCCAGGAGGTTCATCAAAACTTCTTGTTTATTGTGGAACAGGTATGTGAGAGTGCGTATAAATAGAGGTCTGGATCTTCTCTTAATGTGTATTAATGATGTTAAATATGGAATATTATACTCCGTAAATATGTCCAATGAGCCAAACATCTTTTACAGATTTACAACAATGTTTTAATTAACTAACATTTGTCTATGTCATACAGTGTCAACGTTGTGCACTGCTGCACATCAGCAAAATGTGTCATCAAATCGGTGACACAAGCTTGTGTCCCATAGAGAAAAAACACACTTACACACTTAAGGAGTTCCAGGACATCCAGTCAAAACAACTAGAGAAGGTAGTAACGATACATAGATTGTTAAGTGGGCCTCCTCAGCTGCTCATTGCCCTTATTCTTTCATTATTATCAGGTGTTGAGTGACTTGAGCAAGTTTCAAGACCTGGTGAAGGAGGTGACGGTTTCTGCATGCCAAAACTACGCCATCAGATTTGTGTACTTAGGTACACTGAGCATTTTTAAACGCTGGCGTGTAAATGGCTAGACCATAATGTTGCACGGTTTATAGTAGGCTTTCTGTGTCACAGAGATCCTCACAGCAATGGAAGCTCGTGCGAGAATCACATTGCAATACCAACGCCAATTCCAATAAGTTGCTCGCTTTTTCCTCTTTCATTTTATTTTCTATCTCTATTTGTCTACCAGAAATACCTGCTCTGGAACTATAACTATTCTATTAGACTGTTCTCCTTTGTGACACATCGAAACGTTTGCTGTGAAAAATGCCCGTGACACACACTATCTAATTCCAGTCCAAACCCTCTCTGCCCCTCACCTTCCCAGCTTCATCCGTCTGGTTGACTATTTGGTTATTAACAGCGTACAAACCTTAGTCGCGAGTTCAGTGGCCAAACTACTGGCTGTGTTCTAAGAGCGCGTAAGTCAAACGCCCAGCAATGCCGTTATTCAGAGCTGGAGCCGAAGCTCTGAGGGTGACCCTTCTGATGAACACATGAGCCAAAAGGTAGGGGATTGTTTCAGTATTCTTATTGGATTATTTACAGTAAAACCGTGGCAATATATATCAAGTGGGTTTTTCCAAGTACATCCATACCAGTGTTCAGTTTGGGTCGGTGTGTGTTTGTGTGTTTTAGTCGGAAACTCACTGCAGCCAGCCTGTGTTCATCTCTGAGCTGATGCTGGACCCAAATGCCTTGACCTACAAACCCTCTGGGGAGGACTTTCACGTTAGTTTTCCAATTTGTTAAAAACCCATTATGCTTTACTCTACTCATTACCCATTTAATACCTTACAGTGTCTCTTTGAAATCTCACATGAAAACTGTTGCTGAGATCCTCGGGTCGTTTGACAAAGCGGTGATGTCCGTTAATATGCTCACAGAAGATCGTGATTTAATGTCATTGATATCACCTAAAGACAATAAGGTAGTAAAAAGTCAAACCTCCACCGGATAGCCCAGACGTGTATATTGAGTGTTGTTCTGAATGTTAATGTGCTACATATTTTAAAAATATAAAGGTATTAAGGTATTTTTTTACTCTGTAATTGATCTTTGATGTAGTCTATGTATGAGTTTCTATATCTGTTTAAATTTAGAAATTAAAATTTTAAAAAAGAAAAGAAGCTGGCCCTTGTTTGGAATGGATCTTGAAGAAGGATGGCCGACTTCAGGGAATCATCCAGAAAATCAAGGTTAGCTTCTACTTTGCATTTTTTAAGTTGATATCTCTTATCCACGGTACTGTGTATGTGTGGGCCTGACTTGTTTCTCCCTACAGGATTCATTCCAGTTTTCCTTTGACGCAGCAAAAGTGTACTCAGACACATTTGAGCGTTTTCATATGTTCTATAAAGAGTACGAGAGTCTGAATCTGGATGATATCCGGCAAAGAGATCACGGTGATGCAATTACATCCACATAAACATTGTTGTTACAGATCCCACATCTGGCATCAACAGCTGGATTAAGATTTATAAAACACTGTGTAGGACCCACATTAAATGTCGCGGGCCTGTACCTTTTGTAAAGTTGCACAGGGCGAGTGTCTGTATGCGCATGCATGATACAAACTAAATGTGTAACTGGTGGAAAGAATGACTCCATATAGCGCTACAAGTTATCAAAACCTACCTTTTTTATATATATATTTGTGGTTAAGGGATATCATAGGTTTGAGGATACCATTTAACATAAAAATCAAATTCAAGGTCTCAAAAAATATTTGTAGTCATTATGCACCAGAAGAATACACAACAAAAGGTGTGCACCTTTTTCCAAAGTGTAAAGGCAAGATTAGAAACATGTATAGAATTCATAATCCGTACTTTCAGAAGATGAAACCCTACTATACCAGTCCATTGCAGCTTCTCTCTTCTCATTCAGGGAGCAGCGCTAGCATCATTTAGTTTTCCATGGGTCTTTCTGTTTGCCAAAAAGAAACTGTTCTAGTTAGAGCATCAATTATTGAAACCTTATGTTAATTTCTTTACTTCACAGATATACCCTTTTTTGAAAAAGCACTGAAGTTACAGCACAGTGTGCATAAGGATGCCACAGCCTTCCAACAGCAAAGACACCTCGGCTTGCTGCCTGTGGACAAAACACAGCTCAAAACGAAGCTTGTGTATTCCCAACTCTGCGGTATGCAGGCGAGGACTAGTAATGTGCAAACAGACACACATAATATCAGTTTATGGTTAAAGAGTTACAAAGCGTTTTGACCATGGATTGATACAATCTCACTGAAGTGAAAACATAAGAAAGGTCCAGGGTCTCAGTGAGGGAAAATCTTAGAAGAAAATCCATTCTTCTAGCGCAATTGCAGAAACATTGATGGAGCATGTAGGAGTCATTGTTTTTAACGTCTGTTCCAGATCATCAACGAGATGCTTACCCTGCAGGCCAGGAGGAAGCTAGATGCTCTCTTTGCTGAGGTTTGTGATGCCTGGTGCAAACTTGAGTCCGGTGCCTCCACTATAGCTGATAGCCGACTCCCTCACATTTATGGAGGAGATTCAGAAGAGGGTAAGCCACACATTTAACAGTAAAAGCAGTTGCTCTAGCAATCACAAGTGTTTGTAACAAAACCAACAAAGTTAATCTCTCAGTATCCTCTCTCCTCTTCCATTCCCTGTTCTCATCTCTTCTCCTATTCGACTGTTTTACTACACTCTCCCTCCACCACGGCTACATTGACTCCCTGCACAGCAGTATCATTGAGGCAGAATTTGAGAGGGACTCTAGCATGGAGAAGCTCGGAAGCTCCCTGCAGAAAGAAGTTAATGAGCTTAACCACAAGGTCCAGACAATCAAGCTTAAATCACAGGTACGTGGATACGTTTTATTAATCGTTCCATGGGCAATGGTTTGGTTTACTCAAGGTGTATCAATATGTCTTCGACCTATTTTTACTTGTTTGCCATCTGGTTTCTTGTGCACAGGACCTCCTTGACATCAATGCAGATTCCTCTAAAGTGCGTCTGCTGCTCGGGGGGATCAAAGTCTCCATAGACGAACTGCAGGCCCAGGTCCACGCCTACACCTCCTACCAGAAGCAACCAGGTCAACTTATTCCCACCTCCCTCTTTAACTTCTGATCAATAAAGATGGAGGTCAACAACTTTGATGCCCTGGAGGAGGAAATTGGCAAGTTTCGACTGAAACAGCAGCTGTCGGGCTGTCTAGAGAAATGGGACTCTTTATCAGATGGATGGACACAGGTGAGTCGTACTCAACACGCTGTATCTAAAGGCCTCCCTCTCAACAATGTAGTGCCAATTCTTAAGGAGAAGGTGGAAGTCATAAAACGGTGGGTGGGTGGGTTTTGTCGTAAAGGGTTTGTGTTGTGTATAGTGTGTGGCGTGAATAAAAAAAAATCACGTTATCACAACGAAATCTTTATAACAAATATGTTAAAATATTAACTTATAATAATTTAAGTTGTTGTTCACTACAGCTTGATGATGCCATCTAAATAATATATTCATGTTTATCCTTCAGCTACCTCTGATCACTGATCTACTTAACCCAATAATGAAGCCAGAACACTGGAAGACTCTGGAGTCTGTCATGGGGATCTCCCTGAATAAGAAGGAGCTTACCGTGGCTGCTCCTCCGGAGGAGCTCAACATCTTCTCCTATGGCATGAAGATACAGGAGGTAACACATGCTTAAAGCCTACACAATGGCCCTCTTCTTGCTGTAGTTGTGGCACTACTGTTACTGATGACTGTTATTAAGTTATTACAAGAAACTTTTCCTTTCCGGAATTTCCTTGTTCACTTTGGCGGTCCATGTGGACAAAACAGTGGCGTTTCTGAGACGCCCTTTAGAAAACATTTCATTTTACTGCAGCAGGGTCTGACAGTCTGTCCAGCGCAGTGCTGGAACTGGTTCTCCCCTGTGGAGGCACCGGGTCTCCTGCGTGCGTGTTCATGGCGGCTGGCTTCCACCGCGGGCTGACTGTGTAGTTTCTTTAAGTTGGAAAAAGAACAAATGATCTACCCTATGCCTCACGAAGTAGTGTTTTTTTAGTATTTTGACCTCAAAGGGAGATTAACAACAGAAGTACACAAGCTGCTTATTCTTATTATCTTGTTTGTGTATCTTGTCCGGTCTGAATAAACAGGATTAACACCCCTTGACTTGTAGGTGTCAGCACAGGCTTCGGGAGAGGCATCAGTGGAGCGCATTGTTGCAAAGGTGCATGGAACTACACGATTGTGCAAATGCAATAGTGGTGTACACTCTACCTTCCTGTCTGTTGAATATTATTTGTTTTCAATTATGAGATTTTGATGCCCACACAGCCAATTTGATGACTCAAAAATTACAACTAACAGAGCTTACAGAGAATTTAGCTATTTTTACATTTGCAAAGATTCTTTCCATAAAGCGTAATTCATATTTCTTGTGAACATTAGGAAAATTGGTGTGTCGTTGTAACTTTTAAGGTTTACAGGGATGATTGTTGCTACATGGGGCAATTTGGAATAAAAGAATATGAGGTAAAGTGGCATATATCTCTGTATAATAATAGCCAATTAAAGTCAATCACCAGGTTTTCTTTTTCTAGTAATCCTTGCTTCCACCGTGCAGATTTTTAAAACTTTAACGTAAACCATTACCCTTTGCCCCTTCAATGAGACATGTAGGTAGAGGAGGTTTGGAGGAATACAGAGTTCACTGTGCTGTCTCACGGGGATTCTAAAGAGAGCTTCATCTTGGGAGGCACAGAGGATATCCAGGTGGTAGCATGCAGCACACACACAGGCTTTAAAGCACACACTAGTTTCAGTACTAATGTGTGTGCTATTATTGTTGTTTTACTCTAAAGGTCCTCTTGGATGAAAGCATCATCAATGTAGGCACTTTGTCATCTTCTCGCTACGTGGCTCCCGTCAAGTATAGGGTGGACAAATTGCTGAGACAGCTGACCCTCTTCAACCAAACCCTGGTAAAGGTTTTCAAAAGAGCAGGGATCTTGAATTTGGCCCCAAGTGACTCATTCTTAGATTGTAGTGGCTTTTCTCCAAAAAAATTCTCTCGCAGATCTGGACTTTGGTGTCAAATGTTAAACAGTAGTGCTCCCTAGTGGCTTCAGATGAGAATACAAAGTACTTGCAAAATATATTTTGCTTTCAAAATATATGAGTGCTATTCATGTGGGATATATACCTGTAAATAAACTGTAATCCGAGGTATCATAATTGGCTTTTACCGCTTACATTTTCTTTCTGTCTGACCAGGATGAGTGGCTTACATGTCAAAGGAACTGGCTGTATCTAGGGAGTATTTTTGTGGCCCCAGACATCAAAAGGCAGCTGCTAGCTGAGTCCAAGATGTTTCAAAAGGTGGACAAGTCATGGAAGGAGATAATGGCAAAGGCCTTGAAGCAGCCACACAGCCTGGTAGGTAGCCTTAAAACATTGTAGGAAAAATAAAACATGGTAGGACAGTCAGATTCACAAAACTGTTTATATGATGCAGATCTGTTGGAGACTTTTCAAAACAACAACACTCTTCTGGATGAGATACAGAAGTGTCTGGCAGACTACGTGGAGTCCAAGAGAGTCATTTTTCCCAGGTATAAATACATGCTCTAAATGCTATAAATACAGCTTTTACATCATACTACATCTTCTTCTTAATCACCCCCCCCCCTCCCCCCCCAATGCACAAACACAATTTAAAATGCATCTAACGGGTGGTCTCTCTTGACAGGTTGATAGTTGTTACTCCACACCTCTCTCCCAAGTGAACACTGGGTGATAAAAAATATAATCTTGAACCTGGCGTGTTGTGTTAAATGCTCTGATTGATAACTCCTCTATCCTCACAGGTTCTACTTCTTATCTAATGACGAGCTGCTGAAGCTCTTGGCTCAGACAAGAAACCCCCAGGCAGTGCAGCCCCACCTTCTGAAGTGTTTTGATGCCATTACCCGGCTAGAGTTTGCTTTGCAACCCAAATCTTCTGGGACCAAAAAAGGAACTATGCTGGCTTTTGGAGAACAGGAAACAGTCTACAGGCAAGACATCCTGAACATGGTTTCCCCCTGATGGAGAGAAGGTGAGGTTTGAGCAACGTCAACACCTTTTGGTCGTCATGCTCTTTTATATAAGTTGTTATTATCTTCTTTCCGTCCTTGCTGAGAGCATAAGTGAATTGCACTCATATGCTACCTTCCTTGGTGTATAAACTATGACAATAGTTAACACTGTCAACCATCTTATTTGACACCACCATTGTCCTACCTGGCAGCCCTATGCCAGTGCAATAATAAAGCAAGTCATCAAATGATGCCAAAACGCTTGTAAGCACTAATTCTGAAATGAATCATTCATAGTATTTGTTAAGAATTGGTTGGTTTGAGGTATTTGTCGTGCACTCAACTCATACCAAAAGATTTCATATTAGATTACTCAAACTAGATTATCCAATCGTAAATAATAACAAGGCAATTGTTGTGATCTAATTGTGTTTGATGCCTCAAAGTCTGTAGGAAGCATGATGAATAATAATTTAAGTAGCAGTAGCAGATTTCCTTGCACTGATTGCAGTTGCGAGCTACATTACACGTCCTGATTGTCTCATTGCAGCTGTTATTCCTGTTGTGCTTTTCAGTCACCTCGTAGTCCGTCATGTTTTGTAAAGTCGTTTTATGTTTCTCTGTGGTCTTTTAGATTCTGTTGTTGGTTGGTATGTGGCTTCCTGAGTGACACTTTTTTGGGAAACACACTTATGGCGCCAGTGCCTATTATGCACGTTTAGCTTGTGAGTCGTGATCACTAATGGGTGATTTGTTGCTATTGCAGTCCAATGATCAAATGAAAGGAGTGTACATTGGACACAGGACTCCCAGTTAGCCCTTAACAACAGATGAAAACTGATGTTGTTCTTCTGTTTGTCTTTTTAGGTGGCTTTGACTAAAGGTCTTAAGGCACAAGGCAATGCAGAGGATTGGCTTTGCAAGGTGGAGGAGGCTATGTTCAACTCGTTGCGCTCCCTCAGTAAGGCTGCCATCGCTGACTACCAGGTGAAGTCTAGAGAGGAATGGGTGGTGGCCGGACATCCATCGCAGGTACACAACCACAGACACACATCCACACACATGAACACTAATGAAACATTACTTTTTATATTTTTTAAATAAATGACAGATACCTGAGATATACTGTCTTGAGTATAATTATCCATGGGGTTTGTCTCAAACATCTCAAACATACATATCAGGTTTACAGATATTTTGTTTTCCTAGACCATGGAACTCATTGTGATTTTTCCTAGAGCTTCATCTAGGAAACCAAGATATTAAAGTTACATTGTGTAGAACTAGCTAGCATCTCACATTGGAGTAACAGATTGCTTTCAACTGAATGTCCCTCCTCTTATTCCTTATTCATTACTCCTCTCTCACCGGATGGTCTTGTGTGCCGAGTGCAAAACCTTGGTAACACCTTTTACATCGGTTTGTCTGTTTGTGACTACTGACACAAAGAGGTCCCGCTCCAACACGCTAGTCCTTTCTATCATTTCAGGTGGACGCTTGCTCCATTTTAATGCTGCGATTTAACTTCAGTTTGTCTTTGCGCCCACTAGGTGGTGCTGACCATCTCCCAGTTGATGTGGTGCAAAGACATGGATGCTGGCCTGGATGGAGACCACGACCACTTTGCTGCCTTGCAGGAATTTAAACTGACTAACTTTGATGTAAACTACACCAACTAACTTTACTACTTGCCTTCTCCACAAACAAATCGATTTTCTTTGCCCTTTTGCTTTTATTTTTGTAATTTAAGATTATTAATAATACCTGTGTATTGCAGAGGCTGAATGCCTTGGCGGCATTGGTTCGAGGACAGCTGCCTACTTTGCACCGTAATATCATCACTGCCCTCATCACCATCGATGTCCATGCCAGAGATATTGTCACAGATCTAGTCCGCCAGAAGGTACAAGAGTACAAACACACACAGAAACCATCAATGAGTTTGTATACTTTTCTGTCCTTGACTTTGTACGATAGGTCCACAAATATTAAAGGAGGATTTTTCAGGTGATGAGACAATGTTATGTTATAACTCACTACCTTAAAGTAACTTGATTCCTCTATTTTAGGTGGATAACGGGGATAACTTTGAATGGCAGAGGCAGTTGCGCTACTATTGGGACCTGGACCAGGACAACTGTGTTGCCAAAATGGCTCTGTCCACTTACATTTACGGCTATGAATATCTGGGAGCCTGTCCTCGACTGGTTATAACACCGCTCACGGTAACACACGAATACATATTGGTACTCAGCACACCTGCCTTGTCCTGTGCCAACATTCATTTTTATAGCTGTGTACCACAAACTGTTTGCATTATGTTGAATGCAAACTGCAGTGAAGACAAACTGGGAACACATTTCCTGTCCTCAATTACAAAAACCTTCACCAGCCGCAAGGCTACATGATCGTTTTACCTCATTCAGATTATTTGTGAACCTGCAAAAACACAAACATCCAAGACAACAAGCTACACAACCACTAGATGGAGCTGGTGTGGCCTATAGAATGTGTGTCCAATTGTAGATAGACAGCAGTGAGTAATTAAAATGGCAAACACAAATGCTGCATATTGTGTTTGTCACTGTTACTCGATTTGCCTTTTATTGCTCACTCTGCTCAGGACCGTTGCTATTTGTGTCTGATGGGGGCTCTCCAATTAGACCTTGGAGAAGCACCAGCCGGGCCAGCAGGTACGGGCAAAACAGAGACCACCAAGGACTTGGCTAAGGCCCTGGCCATTCAGTGTGTGGTCTTCAACTGCTCAGATGGACTTGACTACAAGGTCAGCCATGACACACCGCTTCTGTATCTGTAATGCACACACTTTGCATTACTTGTGTTACTATCTCGTTTCATTACTTGTTGAATCACGCTGTTTTTATAATTTGTTCCTTAATTTGTTCCTTTGCACTTCTTCACTTTCATGTGACTCAGCAATGATTCTGCTTTTTCTCACGATAAATATAACATTGGTGAGCTCAGGAATGCTTAAACTCAATCCAACTGTACCTGCTGACTGATACTGTTAGATGGCACTATTACACAAGCAGTGACGTGCCAGCGCCAATTAAAGTGCAGATGCTCATTTGTGTCATAAGTCAATTCCCAGTTTAATAAAAGGTTTTGGTGTGTTTTTGTTACATTAACCATGTAATAAAGTTTACATTTGTTGTTTCATATGCAAATAAAAGAGATGCTATTACTTTCACTCTGATAGAGGATCTTATAATTACATTATTAATTGTTAATGTTTTTTCACAGTTATATATATGTCAGTTTTAATTTATTATGATCACTTTATAAACATAGTGGCGTATGGAGTAGATAGTCGATCCGTTGGCGGTTCTTCTTCTTCTGCTGACACCGCTTATTACACAAAAGGACACAGCTTTGAAACATACAATATGCTATCTGCTCAACACATCATATGCTTATATATGTTTTACTGTATTTACATTTTAATCCACAGCACTGGCTTAATAAAAAGTATAGTATAGTTTTTACTATTTCCACCAGATTGAGGTATTTTCTCCTGTCTGCGATATTTGGATAATATTGTTTCTTGGTTTCCAAATGGAACGCTTTATTTTGGAGGAGTGCAGTGTTGATATCCCAATTACAGTTTTTCTGGATTTCTTAAGCACAATTTTGATGGTTTTGTTTTTCACTCAATTAGCTCACCCACAAACTCAATTTGCAGAACACCTAAGATTATTTGCAAAATAAAAAACTCTTGTAAAAACTATACACTAATTTATGAAAAACATATTTTGTTACCACATGACACACACACATGTTGCATATGCCTCTCCAGCCACTGTCAGTCGCTGTGGGATGCTATATATCGACCCAAATGAGCTCAAATGGATGCCTTATGTCCAGACATGGATCAAGGGTCTAGGAACCAAGGTTGTACATGTTGTATCTCCGTCATCTCTATAACAGTATTTGAAATGACAGAAGGTTTTTTGTGACTCAAATTATGACTCAAATTATCTCTCCCCTCAAATTTAAACGTTTCTCCCTCTTTCTCTGTGCTAATGTCTAATTGGCTGAGAATAGTCCATTCATTGATGCTGTATTATTTGGTCATATGTCCGGCCTTCTTCTGTCTGCCCTTTCCCGTCATCTCTCTACACGTATCTCCCACCTTTGAGTATTCAAAGCGCTTCATTTAGATACTTTTCTTTTTTTTTTGGCAAGCAAAGCACTTTTGTGGTGCTTTGTCTGGGAGATTTGTGATTACACGAACAAATGAACCAACTAACTAAGTGAAGAAGTCTAACTATCTGTGTCCATTCATCTATGCCAAGCTCAGCTATCTGTCCTGGCTTCATTTAGCAGACATTCACGGCAGTGGTGTAATTTTCTCACCTAACTCCTGGCAAAGAAGTGAACAACCATTTATCTCAGTAATTGTATAAATAAACGTAAAGATCACTGCATAACCTTACTCGTGTGTCTGCATAGTTCCCAGGCACAGTGAGCACATACCTGCTGGAGTTGTTTTCGCTGTATGTGGAGAAGGGTCTTCAGTTCGTTGTGAAGTACGGTACCCAGGCGATTCAACAGGTGGACATCAGTAAAGTGACCACTCTCTGCTCCCTGTTGGAGGCACTGCTGTTGGACAAAGGCGGCCCAGACTTTCAAATGGTACATAAAACACAATATTTAACAGTCACTTAGTCTATTTCAGTTCAGTTCAAAATCATTAATCAAGCAGATTTAAATGAACTTCAAATTACAGGAAATACAATGGACATAGTGATCTTTTCCCAATCTACATATGATACCCTTAAAATGAATGAGTTGTTGCCATTGTTCCTGGGTTTTTACTATAGGGCTGTATTGTTGTGCTAAACCATAAAGCCACACTGTTTGTATAAGAAAGTTATCCAAGAGACATTTTTTTTTTCAACTGATCTTTCAGTGTAACTGGTTGGACAAGGAATCATATGTGTCGGTGTTGTTGAAGTATTTTTGCATCCTTTACAGTCAGTGGTGGATCGGGGCCTTCTTAACGGTATTCAGGAAAGGGCAGGATACCTCCCAGTCTACATTAACTTCTCGTCTCAGACCTCATCTGCCCGCACTCAGGAAATTATTGAGTCCAAACTGGAGAAAAAGAGGAAAAACATTATGGGTATTGACTCGCAGTTGCATTGCCATTCAGTGTCTTTTTCCTCTTTCTCTCCTCATCCATTTCATTTTTCCTCCCTTTCGGTGCTCCTGGTAACAAGAAGTTAGTGGTCTTTGTGGATGACCTGAATATGCCTGGATGAATATGGCTCTCAGCCCCCTATTGAACTCTTGCGTCAATTCCAGGACTTTTCAGGCTTCTATGACAGAACCAAGTTCTTCTGGAGGAAGATCCAGGTATGGACAATATAAGAGGAGATACAATCATGAGGTGCCTTTGACAGTAATGAAATCTTTTTGTACTCTCATCTGACTTTGGCTGTATACAATTCAGCATATGGCTTTTGTTGAGTCAAAATCAGAATCGGCTTTGTTGGCCAGGTATTCTTATGAATACGTGGAATTTGACACCGGTTTCCATTTTGTTCTCCTAATACATATAAGTAAACAAAGAAAATTTAAAACACAGACAACACAATGAAGTGGAACGGATGTAAGTATATGCATTCAACGACTATACAATCTAATTATAAATATACATTTCAAAAGTACAAATGTGAATATTTATTCATACTTGATGAAAATCCGGTGAGAGTTAGCTGTCAAATTTACCAAAGAACCTCTGTGCTCCAGTCACTGAGATCAGCTATTAGAAGGCCGAACTAGCTAATATATCTAAAATCGCGTTTTCTATTTCTAAAAATGTAATTAAAGAAAACACATCCTGGAAACAAGACCGTTTTATAGTTGTTAAAGTATTTTTTATTTATTTTTCTCATTAACTATGGGGTGAGATGGCAAAAAAGACTTTTAAATGACCTATTGATTTTCTCGTAAGTAAAAAAAATTGTAGATTTAGCACTTAAATGTTTTCTTTAACAGTCAGCATCAACTGCATTTTCTTTTTAATTGGACTTTTAATGAAGTTTGTCCCTAAGAAACCCATCCATCTTGTGGGCATTTGTGTTAAGGTAGTCAAACCATATTTTTGTTCTGTATGGAAATAACTGCCTGCCTTTAAGCTGTGCTATACAACTATTGGCACTCATAAGACTGGATGCACTTTAGACTGCATGGGGTGTATGACAGTTTAATGTAAATACCTGAATGTGTTGGTCTGCATGGCTGATGCTGGAGTTTCACAGATAAAACATTCAGGATATTTTGAGTTACACTGGCAACACGCAACTTATTCTTTTGTCATAAATGAGTATATAGTTACTTAATTATCTACTGCTTTCCAGATTCTAAAATGACACTTGCCAGAGAAGACACAATATTCTGTGTTATGTACTATTTAAATTGGATTGGAAGGGAGATTCTTTCGTTCAAATGAATTAAATTTACTTTAAAATAAAGAAAAGGCCAATTAAAATTGATTAGAATTTCATCCAGCTAAATATCTAAAAAAATTACATATATATATATATAATTTCTGTGTGCTATAACAACTTTTTTTTTTGGCCAACATTTTTAACACCTCAACACCTTTCTACTCCAGGAAATGACCATTACCGCAGCGTGTGCTCCTCCAGGAGGGGGGCGCAATCAGGTGACCCCCCGTTTCATCCGCCACTTCGGTATGCGGTGTCTTCCCACACCGTCGGAACACAGACTCAAGCAGATCTACAAAGTGAGGAGACAACTCAACACATCAATCATTTTCTAGAATGTATAATATAACTGGCGCTTGCTCCATCACGCTCTCAAACAAGTTCAATTACCCACTATCAATCTAACTTAATTCTGTCTTTCATGCTTTTTCTTTTCCCACCCAACCATCCTCCATGCCATCCTGAACGGTTTCTTTAGGGAATTTTCCCAAGCGGTGAAGGACTCTTCTGGTCAGATTGTTGATGCAGCAATGGAGATTTACAACCGCTTGAGCGTACCATTATGTCTTCAATCTCCGGGACCTCTGCAAGTGTGTCCAAGGTGAGACACAATCACATTCAGAGCTATGAACACTCAGTGCGCAGTGGACTAGTCACAGTTGTCACAACTACGAACAACTAACAGCCCAGAGCCCAGTTTAAGGGCTGCGCAGTTGTGGGAATCCAAAGTTCTCTTTGACTGCTTTGCAGTTTACCGGTTGCGCCAGCCTGCAATCTGGCCACATTGAGGAAATATTGATTTTATTTCGTAGCAACAGCTATATGGGGGGACAAAATTAAAGCATGGATATAATTTGAACACAGGCAGAAAAATAGTGTGTTAAGCAAAAAATAGTGATATCTAAAGGTGCATTTTAATATTAGAAATCCTCACGCCTCTCTTTTCCTCAACAGCACAAACTAAGCTTTGCTAAAAGAGAATGGAAAGTATGCAGATGCAGCAAGTATTTTAGTCTCTGTACCTCCACAGCTTGAGGGCACTGCTAGGATTAGTCTCTTCAAGCCACATTAGCAACGTATCTATCTCAGCCTCATGGTCCCAAATTGTCTGCACCACAGTTCCCCAGCAATGCATGCTGTTGGTCAGGGGTAATAAACTGGAACTAAAATTACAAGTTGTTTACAAACCACAATTAAATGAATACATGTAATATAGCTTTTAGTCAAACACCTAATTCAGAGAAATGCTGCATTGGATGGACCTCAGAAATGTACGGTGCGCATCGGCAAACTGCAATACGCGCATGAATAGTCGGGGCATTGGATTGGTGTAACAGTATGTGGATGTGACAGACTCAGGGGTCAGTAGGCACATCAGCAGCTACAACAAAGGGTGTTAAGTTGTGAAGACAAACAGATGTTTGCACAATGACATTCATGCCTGTGAAAATAACCGGCTTCTAAGCGGTCTGGGTTCACTGGTGTGAATGAAATGAACTGAAGAGTTATTCTTACCATTCTTCTTCCCGTTAACCTCTCTAGATGTCCAGGCATATTGCAGTGTAAGCCGAGACAAGTAAGGGAGAAGAACCAGATCTTCTGTCTCTTCTGCCACTAGTGTTGTTGAATGGTGCACATGTTTGAACAGTTGCTCAGTCCTTTAACTCTGTCTCCCTTTGTGCTAATAACCTGTATTCATTCACATTTTTCTCCATCCCATGATGCCTTTAGATGGGTGCAGAGAACAAAGATTAAGTTGTTTATTTACAGAACATTTTGGTCAGTGAAACGGCATTTAAAAATTAAGAAGCATTAATTACTGATTTTAGTTCTTTTAATCGCCAGGTCTGCTTGTTTTGAAGAGAATAAATGCTGAATTCTTTTTGTCGATCTTCTAGGATCTCCCGTATGATTCGCCAGGGGGGAGGCAATGCACGGCTGGTGGGGGTGGGAGGTACAGGTAAGCAGTCCCTCACTCGGTTGGCTCCCACATGTGTGGGTACCGCTGCTTTGAGATCGAACTGAGCCGAGGCTACAACTACGACAGTTTCCATGAAGACCTGAGGAGGCTTTACAAGATGGCAGGTGTGGAGTACGAGGACATGGTGTTCCTGTTTACAGATACTCAGGTAGGCCGGAAGAGATACACTTTGGGATCCCTGTAGATTATTTTTTGTATTCTTTTGTATTTTTTTATACAAATGTGTTTTATTCTGTTTTTTTTCTATTGTAGATTTTGGTGGAGGAGTTTTTGGAAGACATCAACAATATGCTTAACTCTGGCGAGGTCCCCAACCTCTTCGAGAAAGATGAGCTGGAACAAGTGCTAGCAGCTGTCCGCTCTAAGGCCAAAGAAGCTGGATTCAGTGAGGAAAACAGGGATGAGGTACAACCAATCACAAATGCATATTGTCAAAAACACCCTTCCAGCACAGTACACCTACAACATGTGCAAGTGATGGATTGTGTGCCAGACTATCATTTGGTAAGGCACAATAACACAAAGGGTCCTTTTGGAGAGATGTGACATACCAGATATACCCACCCACTGTTTGAGATGTTCAAATAAAATAAAGAGATCCTCAGCAATGCTGTCAGTAGCCACAAGAAGATAATTGAAGAAGATCATAACATTTATAACACAGCACATACACACATTGTTTTGCACAAAGGGACAAAATAGCTTAAGCCCAGGAAAGAGCAGTTAGAGTCAATGCCCCCGAGGAAGCTTTAAAAAAAACCTTTAATGTTACGTGGCGGCTGAGACTAAACTTCATGAAATTATGGAATCTTTGTATGTCTATGCGTTGCCCTCAGGTATTTCAGTATTTCATCTCTTGTGTACGGGAGAAGCTGCACATTGTGTTGTGTATGAGTCCTGTGGGCGATGCCTTCAGGTCCCGATGTCGTATGTTTCCTTCACTGGTTAACTGCTGCACCATTGACTGGTTAGTGCAGGTATGTTGCAATAGTCAATTTGGTTAAGATTGTGAAAGTAAATGTAATTATTATACATAGAAAGTCATAAAATAAAAATACAATTAGTCTGATGGGTCCAGGCAAGAAAGGCCTATTTTGTTTTTGTCTTGAAAGAGTCTACTGCACATTTCTTCTTCCAATCCATCTATAATTTGCTGCTCGTCCCGGCAGCTATGCCCAAAATGTCATTTCTTCTCCACTATTTTGGTAATGCATTTTTCTTGTTTTGCAACTATCTTTTGTCATCTACCATTCTGTTCACACTGCTCCCATTCATAATTGATGACTTATATATAAATGTATTATATATGTATAAATGTATATATATATATATATACATTTGCATATTTTTTAAATTCTTTTTTTTTGTCTTTTACTGTTTGTAAATGTATGACTTTTCTACTGCTGTTCTGTTGAAACCTTGTGTAAATAAACAAAGCTTGTTTGTTCCTTAGTGGCCTCGTGAGGCGCTGCTCTCTGTCTCTCAGGTCTTCTTCCAGAATGTGGATTTTGGCAGTGAGGAGCTCTCCGCCATGTGCGTGGATGTACACATCAGCGTCACAGACATGGCTGAGTGCTTCTACTCAGAGCTAAGACGCCGATGCTACACCACGCCTACATCCTATTTGGAGCTCATCAATCTCTATCTGTCCATGCTCAAGAAAAAGAGACAGCAGTTAGTTATTGTAAGCCTAACCAATACAGGACACAAACAATTATCAGCACAAGAGATTACTTGTTGTGATGAACCTTCTTTGTGTTTAATGTCTTGTTGATGTGGCACTACAATGCATTTTTTGGTAATCATACCTCCATTTAAAATATAGCTGATATGACTTTGGATGGGGGTGTTTATGTATAGGACAGGAATCGGGTGAAGAATGGTCTGACCAAACTGCTGGAGACTAATAAGCTTGTGGACAAAATGAAAGTGGATCTGTCTGCTCTGGAGCCAGTCCTTAAACAAAAATCCATTGATGTTGACGCCCTAATGGAGAAACTGGCCATAGACCAGGATAACGCCGACGAGGTCTGTATGTATGTATCCTTGCGTACGTATGTTTGTGTCCACCGATTAAATAAAACTTTGTGTCTTGTTACGTATACGGTGCTAAAAAAGCCCAATAAGCGCTTCTCATTGCTGACGTTTTTGTGTATGTCATCATACGTAAAATATCCATCCTGTAGGTGCGTAAAGTAGTGTCAGAGGATGAGGCTTTGGCCAAGGTCAAAGCTGACGACACCCATGCCATAGCCAATGATGCCCAGAGGGATTTGGATGAGGCTCTGACAGCTCTGGAAGGTCAAGGTGTTCACCAGGCCTCCAGACGTGGTCATGACCGTAATGGAGGCCGTCTGCATCCTGCTATCCAGCAAGTTAGTGTTCTTTTCTCTCTCTTCAAAAAAGTTTCTACCTCAAATATTTTATTATATGTCTAAAGTACCCGTCAAAAGTTTGAACACACATTCTCATTTTATTGAATAAGAAAATGTGTCCAGCAGTAAACCAGCAACTCCCATGTTCAGCTTGGTAAAATGATTTTCGTAGCTCCTAACATTCTTCCACCATGCCTCAGGTTACATCGGAGACCATAAAGTATCGTCTGGAGGAGGCAGAAGCCACTGAGCTGATGATCAACTCTGCAAGGGATCGTTACCGACCCGTGGCAACCCGAGGCTCAGTCTTGTACTTTGTCATTGCCAGTCTTTCTGAGATTGATCCAATGTACCAGTTCTCGCTCAATTACTTCAAACAGGAAACAGAGTACACAGGCGTCATTGTACGAGCCACCGACAAATCACCCAGTGATTTTAAGCTTTAATTTTTAACACAGTTAAAATGACTTCAAGTGTTCATGGAGCATACTTATGTATCTCTTGTTCAATATCTTTCCATCCCATTCTTGATGTCCACTTGTTTCTCCTCCGTCAGCTCTTTACCTCCACCATTGAAACGTCAGAGAAGAGCAGCGTGTTAGAAGATCGTCTCCAGATCCTGCTAGAGCAGATCCTGCTCAACTCCTACATCAACGTGTCCCGTGGCCTCTTTGAGCAGCACAAGCTTATTTACAGCTTCATGTTGTGCATAGAAATCATGAGGCAGCGTGGGGAGATTTCTGATGCCGAGTGGCAGCACTTCCTAAAAGGAAATGTCTGTTTGGAAAAGGTGAGGTGGGAAATCGAGTCAGAGAAATCATGCTGGTAACTGAAGAATCTATCTAGAATCTCACAAACCATTCTTCCAATCTACCTCACACTTGCAGGTATTTTCCTGGGCACCCAAGGTAGTGCTGTGTCTGATTTGATGCAGTTTGGATGAGCTTCACGTTCAATATCAATTCATTTTAAAAAAACAGGCAGACCGGGCTTTCCTGAGATCAGCTGAGACTGTTTAAATTTCAATATCTTTCTTCTTTTTCCTTTTCTATACATTTCCAGTGAGAATCACAAGGGTCTGCAGCAAAGGCACCATTGTTTTGGGCAATAAAGAAGGTCAAAGGCAGACTATGGGTACAGGACTTTTAGTATTTGCTAGACATTTTAGGTTATATTTCCACGATCATCCACCATTTCTTTCTCATGACTGGAGCTGCTGCCCATCAGCCCTCGTCATCCTCTTGTTGGTGGACACCTTTCGTCTCAGCCGACTCCTTGTCTTTTTTTATTGCAGCTTTAACTCATTCATCGTCTATGCTACTCTTGTCAAACCCCTTCCTCTACCTGCCCTGGTTCTGAATCCATCTGTCTTCAGACTTATTAACATATTTTAATTCTTCTTTACTGCCTCTCTATTCAAGGTCCGTCCTCCATTTCCTTTATGGCCTTCATCTTCTCCCGCCATCATTTCTTTTTTCAGGTCTATGCAGATCGCCCAGATGTGTCGTGGCTCAATGACTTTTACTGGCGGACGTGTTGCGAGCTGCAGGACACATTGCCTTGCTTCAAGGGCATCTCCAAGGAAATCACCACCACTCACATCTTCATCGAGCTAGGTAAACCCAACCAAGCTGCTATCCTGGCCCGTCTGGCAAGAATCAGAATATTAAGTGCATGATGTTTCTTCTAAATTTAAAAAGCTGGAACATTTGACCCTTCAACAAAAACAACATTTTTCTGCAATGTTTAAATGTTCAAATTCTTGGATATTTTATCATTCTTCTCCCACATAGTGATGTATAAAGAGGGTGAGTGTAGTATTAAGTGTTGCCTCTCATTTAGGACGTTTCCAAGCATCTGTTAATCCAAAGACCTGGGAGGGCTATGTGTCAGAGTTGGGTCCTCTTGAGGAGTCTAAAGAAGTGAAGCAAGGGAGTGGGATCAGAGGTCACTGGAATAAAAGGTTGGGGCCCTTTCAGAAGCTAATCTTGATCAAGAGTTTCATCGAAGAAAAGGTGAGACAAAACCATCTGTGAGAAGATGTTTTCTAAAACCTTTCATAACTTATTTTTTGGAACCCTCTTCTGATCAACGCCCCCCCAACCCCCACCCCCCTCTTTCCCAGGCGGTGTTTGCAGCAACAGAGTGTGTGATTGTCAGCCTTGGTAAACAGTATTTAGAGAACCCTCCAGTAGACTTGGCAAACCTCTACAATGACACGTCCCCTTCCATACTACTGGTCTTCTCCTCTCAGCACAGGCTCTGATCCTATGGGTGCCTTCCTGCGCTCTGCAAAAGGGGCCTTCACAGAGATCTCCAGCAACTTTTTGAAGACCACGTTCTGGGATGCCAGTGGAGGAAGATCATCTTTGGAATCTGCTTTTTCCATGCAATCATCCAGGTTAACCACCGTTTCACACACCTCACACGTGCTCTATCATTACCATTCTGTGTGCCCTATATTTACTTTCTTGCATTCTGTTGTATGTATTTGCTTGGGTGTGCATGTGTACATACTCACATATCCTTCTTTGTGTTTTGTTTTGCATGTGTCTTAGGAGCGAAAGAAGTTTGGTCCACTGGGCTGGAACATTCGCTATGAGTTTAATGACAGTGACAGGGAGTGTGCCCTGCTCAACCTCAACCTCTACTGCAAAGACGGCACAATCCCTTGGGACGCCCTCATCTACATCACTGGTAGGGAAGCTTTCACACAGTGATGAGAGTGTGCATTTGTATGCAGGTCTAATCCTCTGAATACTTGTATGGGGTGTGATGCACATACCATATGTGATGCTTGTATGGGTTCTGTGCTGCAGTGCAGTTTGAACAGTTAGCTCCACAATTGCAAAAAAAGTTACAGTTTCTGAAAGAACAACGCTTATAGACACATGCAGTGGCAGTTGTATTATTAGGTGCTTCAGCCCCTGTGGTTACTGTATATCAACTGCACAATTTTGTAAACATTACATTTTCAGAAATCTTCCAGACATTCCAACATAATTTCGAAATTAAAATTAGCTTTTACATTTAAACATCAATTGAATAACTAAGTTTCATAGTCAAATAAATCTTTAAAAATAAAAATTGTAATTGTTTTAATACAGTTGTATTACTGTCATATAACCTGGGCAAACATGTGCACAAATGTAATTTTAATTTAATTTAATTATGTGGATTCAATATTCTCCATCCTGGAGCTGCATAACAGTTGTCTTCAAAGTATTGTAATAAAAGAGGGAAGGATCCCTTTCATTAGAATAACTCATCATGTTGCCAAAGTTCATATGTTTTTCTAATCTGGATTTCAGTTACACCTTCAAATGATTATATGCATTCAGCATTATTGGAGCGTACCGCTTCGCAATTAAAATTACGTCTCTTATTGTTATCGTCACAATATTGTTTTACCAGCTTGATCCTTATTTCTAGAAAGCCAGAGCAACACATTCTTTCAGGGAAAGAATTTGGGCTCAAACATTTATAGTGCATCTTGCTTGCATGTAGCCTGTGGTGTATCTTCAGATAATCTGTTCTTTGGTCTTGGTGGATTTTGGTTGACAATATACTGTACAGCTGATCAAGATGATTAACAAGTAGCAGTGTGAATCGGCCAAACTGAGCAAGGATCAGGAGAACAGGACAAAAAAAAGTGTCAATCGACAAGGAAAATGCTTCTAATAAAAAATTATAATTGTACATTAGCCAACACAAACATTAGTAGCATTGTGGTGGCTGCATGGGCTTGTTACCAACTTGTGTAATGCAATGATTTCCCGGGGAATGTTAAGATTGACGATAGACTCTCATTCGTTGAATTGTTTTGCCTAGAATGCATCTATGATTAATGAATTACCTAGTTGTAAATTACCTCAAAGTATCTGCACCGTGTTGTTTAGACCATGTTCAATAGCATATGTGTGCATCACGGATGGAGACTGATAACAGTATGCGGCCATTGTGTTTGTCTACTCAGGGGAAATCACATATGGGGGCAGAGTGATGGATGCTTGGGACCAGCGCTGCCTCAGGACAATCCTCAAAGGCTTCTTCTCCCCTCAAACCTTGAAGCCTGGTTACGCTTATTCTGACTCTGGTATTTTTCATTCTTAGGCTGTCTTTCATTTTCTTTTTTTACTTACAAGGCATGGACAGAAATAACAAGGACACTTGATATAATGAAAGTGAAACAGCAGCTGTGTGTGCATTTTGAAATGTATATTTTGCCCCGTGTATTCTCATATAATTGGGATTTTCTTTGGATTAACGTTTTTCTCTTTTCTGTGTTTAAAGGTACCTACTATGCCCCAGATACAGACGAACTAGAGCAATATAAGAAATATATTGAGAGTCTTCCAACTATAGATGATCCTGAGGTCTTTGGCATGCATGAGAATGCCCATCTGGCCTTCCAGGTGACAAACGCAGAGAAACATACAGATCCCAAACCTTCTCATATGAACCGATGTTGTTAATTAGTTTATTTAATTTTTTGTTTGTTTTGCAGAAGTGTTATGTATTGTAACCAGTCTTTTCAGAGAGCATGAGTGTGCACCTGGTAAATAGCAGTAATGTTTCCTTTCTTGTGTATTATGTATTTTCCTCCAAAGCGTCAAGAAACCATGACTCTCATCAGCACCATTCTTGATGTAAATCCTCGCTCATCAGCCCACCATGGAGCTAAAAGCAACGATGACATGAATCTTACTAAAACCTTATCTACTGCAGTTTTTCCAATGTGTTCTGTCTCCCTCACTCACTTTGTCTCCCTGATTGTCCACCTGTCCATGCAGAGTGTCTGGATATGGACATGGCAGTTGAAACTCTGTTTGTGCGGGATGAAAAGAACCGCCTTAACTCCCTGACAACTGTGTTGGGCCAAGAGGTAGAGTACTCATGGTGCATGAACACCATCTAGCTTCCTCTAGCAGTGTTTGCTACATCAATCCGAGACAAATTATCGCTCATTGCTTTTGCAAAATACAGTAGCCCTGAGAGGAAACTAAATCTGATGGGTAAATTTTCTCATTCTCAAAAGTTTTGCAAAGTAAAAAAGTTGAGTATATTACCCTAGTAGGAAGGGGCAGAGGACTTGTGGTGATGTCAGAAGAGATGGGCCGCACATACACAAGCTTCCTGAACAACCAGGTTCCCACCAACTGGGCAAACTCTGCCTACCCCTCCCTCAAACCCTTGGCATCCTGGGTCAGAGACCCTGAGACACACACACTGACTTGATAGAGAAATCTCAGTATGTGTGTGCGTGTGTGTGCTTGAAAACACTGATGGCGTTTTTCGCGAGACACACATCATCTCTCTCTCTCTCTCTCTCAGCATTCGGTTCATCACCGCTGACTTAAAATGTTCTTCCATGAGACTTGGTGCAACGTGTGTGTTGTACAATCACAAAAATTCACTCAGACACACACAAAGAGGGCAAGCAGATGACAGATGCATTTATTTACGAAGTCGCTGTGTCACACGCTGCATATTCACTCAGAGGAGAGAATCCTCCTCACTGTCCGACCCCATTAATAAAAGGATGCTTGCGCTGCAGCCTGCGCTGTTAAACAAAGCACATAAAAATGATGAATAGATATGCAAATGGAATTGCTTTTTTTTTTCTTGATAGACTTGGATCACACGTGGTCAGCCCAAATCTTTCTGGATATCAGGATTCTTCTTTCCTCAAGGATTTCTTACAGGTAAATAACTGCAACACTAAAGTACGTTCCATGTTTTTTAATGAACCAGATTTCAAAGCTTCTTAATTGAAGTGATCAAATAAACAATTTTACATAAAAGTATATGTCTATTTCTTTTTATATCCACGGTCGTTGCTATTTAAATGTTAGATCTTGCAAAAGAAAATGATGAAACATGTGTTGCGTGTGCTTCTCTGCCCTTAGGGGTGCTTCAGAATCACGCCAGTTCACCACAATCTGCCCATCGATGAGCTCAACTTCCGCTTTAACATAGTGCCAGTGGGCAGGAATGATCTCCTGTATCGGCCCTTGTGACAGCCGAGCTGAAGGAGTCTGTTGGAGAACGTGCTCCGCTGTCCCTGTAGCAGGTGGTGGAGGGGGTGGTCAGGATTATCCAATATGGATAACAGTTTCTTCAGTGACCTCCCCTCCAACACCTTTTCCATTTGTTGCTCCCTGAGCCTCTTGGTCCACTAAACACAGCTAAATTGAAAGTGACATTGTTTAGCTGATGGTTGTGCGTAAGTGTTTTGTATAGAAGGGTTGTCTGATCCCAGAGCAGAGCTTCCTAATGGTCTTAAGTCTGCTATTTATTGGCTTTACCCAGTGATGTGTGTCATTTCTACATTCAAACAACAAAGTCACAATAGTTAGATATTAGTTCAAATTGGTCTTTAGATTTAAACTTAGCCTATATTGTAATTTTTAACATTTGTAACACACAAAAACAAAGACTGCTGACTGGCGTGCAGCAGAGACCCCACAAAGTCACTGCGTCCAGGCAAGAAAGTCTGTTAAACCATGTATTATTTTAACACTGATATGTAATGTAATACAATCCTTACCTTTTCTGTAAAAAATTGTTGTATAAAGGCAAAGAGGATGTATTGTTGACGTTGGTGGCTCAGCCTCTTTAACGAGCAGTGGAGCACAATTATGAAGATTTGGGGGCCTTTGTTACATTTCTTTACTGTGAAAACAAAACAACGGGCAAATCATTGAAAGGATCATTGACCCTGAATATTTATATGTCACTTCACATTTACGAGGTCTGATTTGTGAATACAACAGTTACCGGAGCGGGAAAACAGTGTCCTCGTGCACGGCATGTTCATGGATTGCTGTCGCTGGGACGCTGACAACATGGTGATTGAGGACGCGTTACCTCGTGTGATGAACGCCATGCTGCCGGTGGTGCATTTTGAGCCACAGCAGAAACACGTGCCTGAGCCTGACCTCTACCACGCACCTCTGTACAAGACCTCAGCCAGAGCTGGGACTCTGTCCACCACAGGTGTGTACTGGCACAACACAGGGACTCTGTTTGCATAGTGGTTTGGATTGCACTTCATGTTGTTACATTTTTGATGCATTTAGCCGACACATTTTAACATGATCAGACCGGAGTTTGTCTTTGCAAATGTTGATGTCCAGAATCTTCCACTATTCAAGCAATGCATTGGAGAGACAATTTAATTTGACTTTTTTTCCTCAACTTTCATTTCTGTCTCAATCCAGGTCACTCAACTAATTTTGTCGTGACAGTAATGCTTCCCTCCAATCGACCAAGCGACTATTGGATATCAAAAGCCTCGGCTCTTGTGTTTTTATTTAAAGAAAAAAAGGAATATGAAATGTGACTGATATGTTTGCTTTTGCACAACTTTGAAGTTACACTGAACTTTTGTGGAATTATTCATTAAAAAAAATCTGATACAATCTATGCTGAATGTGCACTTAGGTCACAGTGTAACACACACTTCCCGAGCCAGCCCCCAATGATCCTTAGAGTTGTGTATCCGTGGAGAATAACATACAGATAACAAAGCAGCAAAGTTTAATCCTGCTGACACTTAAATCCAGATATTTAAAGAAGAATCATTCAGTGTAAACAATATAAAGTAGAATCCCATCATGGAGAGCTCCATTCGTGCTGTTTGGTAAGTCATAGGATGAGTGGGAAAATCACAGTACACGTGTAGCCTCAGGCAGAGAGGAGACGGAGGGATGTACGGCAGAGTAGATAAAGTAGATGGATAACCCATGTATGGCCAGACACACAGATGTTAACGGGGCCTTAGGAGTGGTGAGTGGGGGTTGAGCCAGAAGGAGTGATGATCATCAAATGATGAAATGTTTCCACCACAACCCCCGCACACATCCGCAGCCTATTTGTGTCACTTAGGGCATGCGGTGCAAACACATAAAATATGTCTTTTGAAACACATTAAGTAAACCCACTGCAGTGGTGCGGCACGATGTGGAAACAGTCAATCTCTGTCGCACATATTGTCTCATGCAACCCTTACTGCTCCGATAGAGGCGAAGCAGGAATGGGTTACCACCAGTACAGACTAAAACCTACTCATATTAGACTGCCTGCTTAATCCGTCTGATTTTGTGCAGGGTTTAGATCCTTTGAAGGGGCGTTACAGTACGTTTGATGAAGAGGTTTCCCTTAAGCAGTTAATGGTGATGAGTTGTCTGGCTTTATGGGGCCATCATCAGGACATCATCAGACGTCAAGCCTTTCTATTTTTAATAATCTCACCTTGAAATGACAATGCAAACAGTAAATCTGCAGCAGATGTCAACAATAAACTCCCAGTCATTTGCAGTAAAAATGAATTGCAGTATGTTCCTGTAGAATAACTACAATATCAATTAACATCAGCCATGTATAATTCTGAGGGCTACAGGTATCTGCATTATTATAGAAATTATGCAACATAAGCAATCAACAACCACTTAGAAAATGTATAAATCAAACAAACTTTGACATTGAACCGTCATCATAAATTCTGGTACTGTAAAAACACGAGGGACAGAGAATTTGAGTTGTCCCATTTAAAGTCAAGGTGTAGAGACATGTGTATTGATAGTCGTGGACGTCTTCTGGACGATCACACCCGTCTTCTTGGAGACAATCTTTTCCCCCAATGGTCTGTGTCTCTCTGGAGCAACACCTATGAAGCATCTAAAATCAAAATAGTCTAAGATCAGAGACTGGATGAAAAGCTGTTGGAAACACCTTTTAATCATAAGGTGTCATCTCAATTATGCTAAATTATGTTAAGTATGCTTATTTGTATTATTGCCAATTGATACTTTATAGTGAGAAAAACAAACTATTTCCTATTAATTTTGGTAAACTGTGAAAAACCAATATGTGTTAATCACATGCTGCAACCTTTTCATACCCCAAGTTAAGGAATGAGGTTGGTCACAACTTTCTGAATGAAAGCGTTTAAAAATAGATATTGTATTGTTAATTGTAGCATGACAGCCACTCAAATTACACTCAATTGATCATATTTCTCCTTTATTTCACAAAATAATCATGTACATTGGGCTTTTATGTAAATCCTTTGAAACAATAATGAAGTATAACAGCTTTGCAAAGAGTAAACAGTCATATACTCAGTTTTTTGTGTACTTTGCAATATCAGAGTTGTGCAGCCCATTTATTCAAACAATTGTATGGTTGCTGCTTCATAGATTTTGATTGCTCAATGAAGAATGCATTCTACCAATAACACAATATTGTCTTTACATATGTTCAGTGCAGATGAATTTATGCAATTAATGATCTTTGTTCATTTAACATTGAACAGACTCAGTGCCATATATGCTTCTCACATGTAAGAAATGTGCTAAATAGACATCCACATAGACATGGGAGGGGTTATTTCACAAAGTATCTACATAGGTTTGGCAAAGTTACATATGCTATATGTAGAAGACATCTCCTCTGTAAATATATACTCCACCTAGATGGAAAACTGATCATTTTAGCAATAGTTCTCAATCTATTAAATAGAAATTCTTACAGCAACCAAGACCCTTTTCATTAGTGTGTTACATCAAAATAACATAAAAGTATGGCTTTCCTTTAAAAAGGAATTCATGAAATAGCTTTGTACTCTTTGTTTATCAGTGCTCATCTTTTTGTCTTCATCTACCTTTACACCTGCAGCTTATAATCATCCAAAACGTAAAGACAAATGGACTAGAATAGTGCAACATTTTGAAGTGAAAAAAACTCCTATTTACCATTCAGACGTGTGTGGCATCAACATCCTCACTTCGCTCACCACAACAAACCCAAAGTGTTGAGATACACCGTCATCATTACAATGTAATGTAATACGAATGTTTTAACCAAATGGATATAAATCTTATTGAATCCTGATTAAATTTCCAAACAGGATGAAATATACGAATACTGTATTGCTAAATATGTTATGTACATTTTAGGCAAAGCTGGCTTCACCTCTTCCTGTCTGTCCATTAACAGTGTATATGATACTAAATACTGTGCAGTCGTTATACAACAGAGTGACATGAAATGTAGTCAATGATCTCACCATCAATTCTTTCAGTGACTATTTTTCTTCAGCAGTTAGGAACATAAAAGTAAGTGTTGTATAACCACTGAGGATCAGAGGGGACGCTTTGTGGGTGAGAGGGTTTTACACAGATGGTGGCATGAGGTCACCCATTACTTCTTGTTGAATGTTACTAGAGATTAGATAAGAAAGTGTTTGCCTTTCGCTGAGTAAAACAACAAGGCACTAGAGATGTACCGAATGCATCTACACGGGGATAATGCACCTTCCAAATTAATTTAGAAATCCATCAGGAGAACTATGAATGTCATTTGACTACGACTTGCATTACTCTTTTTTACTTCATCATCAACAAGACTCGTGTGTGTAACCAGTGCAGAAGTCAGATAAACAACGTTCATAGGAATACGTTGTTAGATCCCTCCAAAAATTACTTCAAGCTATAATACATGTGAAAGGAGCAGATCTGTAAATCTCTCAAGAATGACTTTTACTGGCAGCAGTCACGTGTAGGCTAAAGAAAAAGGAAATGAGGCGATCGGCGGGAAGAAAGGAAGCGCGACGAAATAGTGTGAATGACTTGAATGCCAAGAAAGAAAAGAAAGTGGTGAGTAAGGATCAATTCAATACTTACACAAGTGGAAAAAGAGTTGAGAGCTGAGACAATATCAATACATAGTCGGCACGTTATATAATTGTCAACCGTTTAGAGTTTAGTAATTAATTATTTAATTGTTTTTTTTCCAAAACTGTCACTATTTCCATCCCCTCAAATGTGGTGAATTGAAGTGTTTTTCTTTGTCATATGCGATAGCGGATTGAGTAATATTGAGTTTGAACTGTTGTCAGCATGGGCAGATTCTCTCTATTTTCAGACATTATATAAATATTCAACAAGTAATTGTGTAAATCTGATACATTTAAAATTAATCAAATATTAACTGTGTCTTAATTTAAAGAGATGGAGGGAAAGATTTTCTTCGCAGTGTGACTTCGAAATAACGGAACCTTCGGTCACGCACATAGCTGCAGCAACGAGACGGGTTCAAATCACGTCGGGATTTCCGATGTCGACTTTGCCTCGTTGAAGAGATCAGCCTCATGTGAAGTCTTTGGACACCGCCTCAATGAAATTGGGAGCCGACATGAGGATCGTGAAGGTGCAGATGATGGAGAAGAGCGAGAAGGCCACCAGGCACAATCGATCCACCACTGCCGCTGCAAACTTCCACTCGCTGCAGATCGCTTCTCCCTCGTCGTGCTCTCGAAAGCGCCTGGCGATGTAATGCACTTCCTCCAGGATCCTGGAAATCTCCGGAACCTGCTCCAGCAGCAGAGTCCGCGTCTGTTCCAAGTGGATCTCATGCGGGGAGGAGCCGTTGAGGTGACCGCCGCCGCACATCACCGCACCTGAATCAGTGCTCGGTGGGAACGAATGGTTGTCTGAGCTCCGAGGGTGGTAACCACGATACAGGTTGGCGTTCCCGTTGGTCGTGGATGGCTGGGTGGACGCCTGGCCCGGCACCAAGCTCATCTGAATGCTGCCGGAGCTGCTGTGTTCCGGAGGATAGTGGCAGTTTTTGTAGTCTGCGGCGCAACCGGAACTCACGGCCGTTTTATTTTCCTCCCCAGGTTTCTTCATGCGGAGAAACCAAGCGCACCAGTTCAGTAGGATCACTCGGACCTGGATGGAGAGATGAGATCGGGCGTATAAGTGTAAGACAGGACAGAAGAGGAGGAGAGATCAGAGTCAGATCAGTATGAGTAGTAGAAATGACAAATATAAAGCAAGGCAAGGAGAGAGCAATACAGGGGGACAATGTTTTTGTGGAGGAAGATGCACGTGAGTTATTGTTAACATACCCATTTAGGCATTTTCCCTCCATAGGGGTCATGGTGGTGGAACTGCAATACCAGGACGGTTACCACCACAGACAAGCCTACAATCATCATGGTGCTAGCAAAGTACTGGGCTGGAAAGTAGAGGAGCAACTCAGTACGGCACAACAACTTCCATTTGGAATAGAAAACAATCAATGCAGCATATCAGGGTTATTTTGAAAGAAAAGTTGAATGCACAAATGAGCTGAAACCCGAGAGTCAGACACGGTAGTTTGGTAGGACTAGAGTAGGCTTGGTAGGCTTGTTAGTCAGTACGGAGTTTAGCCTTTCAACAACCCACCACAGCGATGTCTAAAATGAAACATCCCAACTTACAGACCAACCCAAACACATTCACGTGCTCCGTCCACACACACCCCAATACGCATGTTAAATTCCCTCTGAAAAAAAGAAAAGTTTTTCTTTTTCTAAACTGCTCAATGAAAAGGTACAATTGTCAGAGGGAATGTTAAAGATTATTCCACCTTGTATGGAATCCATCAGTTCAGCTTCACCTGCAATGTGTTAATATGTCCATTCCAATAAAGGCAAATATGCTGATGGCGTTGTTTTACATCACTCAGCTGCCAAAAGATATCAAGCAGCGTCTGCATCCTCACTGCCCTTTTCATGGCCACTTAGTACGAGGAAGTATCAGCAAGTTACAGCATTTTAGAATAATCTTGACATTATATATCAGCAGCCTCTCCAGGCCCCCTGAGGCGAATGATATGAGGGTTGTTATTGTCATTCCGCTGTTTTAAAAGCCCAAAACTGTTTTAACGTAGAGCTCTTCTCCCGATTCTGCACAGTCCCATTCTAATTTACCAAACTGGTTAAATGAATAGCTTTAAATGGTCGGTCAACAGTTTTGGCAAATGCAAGTATGAATATTCTAGCAGAAATTATATCCAAAGTACATTTACCAAAATAAATTGGGCTCATCCGTACGTGTACGAAATGGAAAAGGAAAGCGGAGGGAATGAGCAGAACAATCTGGTGTCTTTTGTGAGTTAAACACACACACACTCACTGCCGTGCCTGTCACATTAGTTGCTAATCAACCAGATGTTGGTTGAATTTCCAAACAGGAGCTTTTTTAGCTGTGGACCGTGTCCATGTTCCGTTTGTTCTTACAGATCATTCAGTATGCTGCTGCCATCCCATTGTTCTAACAGCCCCATCATGAAACCTCAACAGTGTGAAAATAGTCGGAACATGAACAGATTAATCAATATGCACAGAGATGTCACCGGACCTTTCTGGTCAAGTTAACAATTTTATCTTTTTACTTTTCAAAAGACCAGAAAAACATGTATTTTCAATCTATTCCTGTGTCTGGTGTGCATTTAAACAGTATCATGAGTAAATATCACTCCGGTTCACTTCACAAAATGCCAATGTGCTATAAGTGGAGCGGCAGAGTGTCTTACCAATCAGAGGAACGGAGTCTGAAGTGGCAGGCATGATCTCTGCGACCAGTAACATGAAGACTGTTAGAGACAGCAGCACTGTGATGCCTGCAGGAGACACAGACTCTTTCATCACGTTCTCCTTTTCTCCTGAATGGTGACTTGAGAACACTCAAAGTAAATGTAGCTGGTTGCTTCAAAACAGGAAAAAACAGCTGTGGATTTATTTTGGAATCTTAACTCTCTGTTCTGCTCTCGAGGGATTACTTGCAGTTATATATTTACACTGACACCGTCTCACTGAATGTCATTTGGAAACAGGCTGACATTTTCAGGTCCAGGTGATGAACCTTTCTGTTTTATGATGGAACTTCTATTTCTCTGCTAATGACTAAAATCCCAATTCAAAGGCAAATTCACTGCCAATATGTCAACATTAGCGAAGAGCAATGACAAATAAATGGGTTAGCAATGGGTTAGTCATGTACGTGTGTGCGTGTGCGTGTGTTTGTGTGTGTGTGTCTCTCCTGTACCCAGTGAGATCTTCTCTCCAGAGTCAGCGGGGAGCAGGAAGACCAGCAGGGCCAGACCAGAGATGAGCACACAGGGGATGAGCAGGTTGAGGCCGTAGTAAAGCGTCCTGCGGCGCATAGTGACTGTGAACGTCACATCTGGATATGGCTCCTTACAGCAGTCGTAGTACAGCTCATTCCGTTTAGCCGGCACACCTGAGGGGAACAACAGAAGGTGGATCGTACGCACGCAGCTGTAAAATAATGGTTGGGCTCTTCTGCTTTGGTGAAGAAGAACTTAAAAAGGCTGTTAATGTGCAGAGGTGGTAACTGATGAGTGCCAGTAGAGAGCACCAGTTAACGACCACCAGTTATTTGTATGTATTTTTTAATACTGGTACCGTTAAATATTTATGGAAAGGTAAGCGTTATGTGGACTGTTGGCATCCTTTGAAGATTAGGCAAAAAGTCAAAGTGAAAGAGTCAGCGAGGAAACATATGATTTACACTTTTTATACCATGCCGTGGTTATAGCACAATGACAGTTCCTCTGTAATCACTCAAAGATTACACTTAATCTACATGTTCTTTATCTGAAGATTTAGGACCTAAATCAAGCAAATATATAACCAATGCTGACAATGTAGAAAGAGAAGATTATAATTTCATAATTAATGTATGGTCTATGTGGAAAGCTTATTGCTGAAAAAAAACAGCACTTGCCTAAATGAATACTACACATAATACAATGATGTCTGGATTTAATCTTTTACATAAAGTAATAAGCTTCCAAGCACAGAGACGAAGCTGCCAAGTCCACTGTTTTGAGTCATAACTAATTTCCTACAGCAAATTTTCTTCATCATTTTAGCAGCCAGGGCGGCACGGTCGCGTGGTGGTTAGCACTGTTGCCTCACAGCAAGAAGGTCCTGGGTTCGACTCCGTCCAGAGGCCTTTCTGTGTGGAGTCTGCATGTTCTCCCCGTGTCTGTGTGGGTTCTCTCCGGGTTCTCCGGCTTCCTCCCACAGTCCAAAGACATGCTCTGGGGATCAGGTTAATTGTGGACTCTAAAATTTCCCGTAGATGTGTGAATGTGAGTGTGAATGGTTGTGTGTCTCTGTGTTAGTCCTGCGATTGGCTGGCGACCAATCCAGGGTGAACCCTGTCTATTGCCCGAAGTTGGCTGAGATGGACTCCAGCCCCCCCGCGACCCTGTGTGCAGGATAAACGGTTTGACGATGGATGGATTTTAGCAGAGTTGTGTTCTGGATCCGTACACGTGGGCTGACTGGCATTTGGTGCTTGTACTCTTCATTCTTACTAAATTTGCCACTTTGCATTGTTATTGAAATAGAGGAGATTTGGAGACAAGTCCGGTCCAGTTGATGTATTGAGTCTGGTGGACTTTAGATCAGACATTTATGTATAAAGCACATGTCATATTGAGTGGCAGTTTACAGAGGTTTAGTAATTGAATACTTAAGTGAATAAGATAATATATATTTGTTTGTAACCAAAGTAGGGGAAGTTCTAAATAGATGAAAACAGCACCATTTTCTTAAAACAATCCTTTCCCATATGTACTTTGAACAAACTATTGATGACTCGTGATGATGATTTGTTCCTCCTGTTAATACTGGATGTCAAAACATCCCTTTCCCAAACTCTATTTTGTAAATTATTGAGGAAACTTTGTTCACGCACCAACCGCCAAGACAAATTTCTTGTATGTTTGACATATTTTGGCAATAAATGTTTCCTGATTCCCGATTCCTGATTCCTGATTCTGTATGTGGAGGAGCACTCTACTCATTTAACATTGCGTTCCTATAACACTGGATTTACGTTGAATTTTAAAAAGTGTCTAAATCAATGCAGCAGAACCAGTGGAATCCTCTTTTTTTTATTCCACACATTCTTCATCCTCATCAACCCTGGCGTCTACATCACCCGCACGCAATTTGACCTCCCACAGTCGAGTTCGAGCTTTGTTGGTGTTAGATAGTAGTGGTGGCTAACGTAGCCTCAGGCCGCCAGCCTCTTAAAGTAGAGATGAGGAGGTCTGCTAAGATATTATCACAGATAATCAGGCGGTTCCTTCTATATATGTTTGAACATGAGTGAAAAAATGCACCCAATATTTGTTGTTTACCTAAGAAATAATCAGTATACTTGAGATGATGCTTGCATTTGGAATCCATTAGCATACGTTTAGGCAGGAGGAGCGGTTTAAAATCACCCCACCACCCGTAGCATCGATTATTCCCGAATGCTCATCTATCTTGTTGCCGTGTTCACTTTATCCCTAAACTCTGCCTCGTCCAACAGATTTACAGAAAAACAGGTCAATGGTTCAGTCTAGACAAATATGTCCCAAAACGTGTGATCATTTCTGTTCCCGAGAGCCACTGTGTGAGAATATGAATAGCATGCAGAGCACTGACAGGCATTGGTGTGTTCTGAGGCACCAGGACAGTGTGTGTGTGTGTGTGTGTGAGAGTGTGTGTGTGTGTGTGTTGTTGTCCAGCTTGCTCGGTTGCTTTGCCTGAATTAAATGAAGCATCCCCGGGCCAGCTGTCCCCACACATGGCCATCGCCATCGCACTCTATTTCCCCGGCCAGCTGGATACTTTCACTATGTGTGTGTGTGTGTGTGTGTGTTGTTGGTCTCTGATTAACACGTAAACTTGAGATAGAGATTACGTGTGCTTTGAATTTCCACATTGCAAAATGAATAAATGAGCGGTCAAGAAAGCAAAAGAAAGAGAAGAAACCTCTTTGCTTTGTTATCAACAGAGACAAACAAACTGAGAGGAAGTGTTTGAGACAGAGTTAGATAAACTAAAAAAACTATTATAAATAGCCATCTAGTTGCAGAAAATAAGGGAAAATTGTGAATGTTGGCAGAAGCAGTTCCTGAAAGCAGCATCATCCGCTTACAATTGACACAATTGCTATGCACCTGAACTAAGGCTGCAACTAACGATTATTTTGATAATCGATTAATCGGTCGATTATTTCTTCGATTAATCAATAAATCGGATTTAAAAAAAACGGCATTAAAAAGCTTTAATTTCCAACCCTTTATTCTAAAACAGAACCTTAAATTCGTCAGAACTAGTTCTCTATACTACACTCACAAACACACCCTCATGTTCACTTGAAGCAAATTCATTAAATTATTACCGTCATTGTAGAGCAAGTTAAGTAAATGCATACAGCTAAAAAACAACCAAGTGCTATAAGATGAATTTAAAATGGCATTTGTAAATAAATGCATTAGAGGCATCTTAGTTGATTTAATGGATCACCATGTGTCTCCCTTTACAGGCATAACATCAACTACCGTATAACCCACAGTATATGCGCAAGCGCACTGGACTACCATATATGACAGCATTAAAAAGTACAACACACACAAATATATTTTGATAATTTTTAATTATTTTAATAATCGATTTTCATCGATTTTATCGATTCGTTGTTGCAGCCCTAACCTTAACGTGTCTTACTGTGCCTTTCTATTGCACTTCTTACCAACAAGATCCCATTCCCCGTTTGGTATGTAGGTGGAGATGTCCACGTCCATCATCTGGAGGTCCAGCAGCCAGCCGTCATGTGTCCAGGAGCCAAACTTCAGGTCACACTTCTGCACATCGAATGGGAACCAGCGCACATCAATGTAGCAGGTACTCTTCAGAATGCCTTGAGAGACACACAGGACAGTTACTGTTTGCACTTTGCTCAATTTGTTGAAAATCAGATTAAAGAGTGGCGAAGCAATGCATCAAATTGCTGCCAGTCTACTTTTCTTTTTTAACAGACATGGAGGGGATCATTTAAATCGCTTATGTCATATGTATCTATGATTTCATATTTATATATTTTCTGTCATTATATTCATATTAGCATTTCATTCAGTTTAACAGTTTACCTATAATTAATCAATAATTAATATTACAGCAATATGAGCGATCAGAACACTTTTCTTTGGTTATAAAACTCTAGGGTTAAAATTGGATAAAAGGTGATTTCATAGTGTTTCATAGTAAACGTCACACTGTTGTTCCAATAGTGTTCCATTTGTGGTAGATCTTCTACAATCACATTTAGTGCCATTCTCAAGAATATTCTTTCACATATTCATGTTTTTGTTGGACGATAATGATTTAAGGATGATATTAGGAATGATCAAGTTAATGCTGTTTCTAAGGATAATGTATTTATTAGTTTATATTCTTTATTGTGTATTTGTTAGGAACAGAGACCATATACATAAACAATCTGACAGGAGCTTTCCAATTACAGCTGATTTTAATTTGCAACAGCAGACCCTGAAAATTGCTTTTATGAACTAGGAGATAAAAACAAAGCGAGGTACAATTAAAGCAAATGTTTAAAAGCGTCACACGTCAGAGCTGGACGGGAATAGAGATGCGTCGTTGAAAGGCCAGAATTTGGCTGCTCTCCTGAAAGTAATGAAGTTGGCAACTGTCAAGTGATCGGGTAGCAAGCTGCAGACCTTTTTTTCCCCTTTTACACAAAAGGATGAGCAAACCATGTTCTGAAGGATGTGACCTTACAGGTACCACTTGCATCTGCTCTGACGGATCTCTTGATGTATTAGTAGGAAAGGCTGAGTACATTTACACATTTAACTACAAGCAAAATGGAAAACAACCAGGTTTGTAAATCGTAATATCTAAAGGCCCTCTATGGATTTAATTACAGACTGGTTGGCTGGGACAAGGCAATGACAAAGCATTGTGGTGCGAATTATTTAAGGTAAACCATAAACTATATATTCATCCGGAATTTAAGAGACATTTGTCAGAATGAAATTAAACCGTGTTGTTAGTGAAATATAAGATTTAACGTTGAATATGTCACCTGGTGGGATGTATTGGCAGGATCCTGAAGCGTTTACTAACACGTTTGTGTGGAACGTAGCATCAAACCTCTCGTCAGCACTGCAGCGAGAGAAAGTGTAGAACGTAAAGCAGTTTGGAAAAAAGCCCCAAAACAAAGTGAATGGGACTTCAATATGAAAAAAACGGAGCAAAAAGATTCTGAAGTTAGGAGTTAAGAACAAAAGCAGAGACGGATACAATTAAAAAAAAAGAGAAAAAGTGTGATTAGTGTGGTTCCAGACAGGCAATCCTAGACATCATAATCACATTACATTTAAGTTAGCTAACGATTTTAGTGCATTCAACCACAACAACATAAATGAAAACGTAAAAGAAAGCCGAACAACAAAGTGCTAAAAGTAAGTGCAATCTACTACAGTGCTTCCTATTCAAGGTATCGCAAGATGATGTTCTTTTAAATAATTGTCTTTTTCCCTGCTGAAGTTACTGCACAAAGAACTCTTACTCCCCGTTTGATACTGACCCGTGGAGCATGACAGTTTAATAATAATTGATTGTCCCAGAACTGTTCTCTCCTGGTGCTTTTTACAGTAAGAAACACTAAAACAGCTGTTTGACTCAGGACAAACACCACCACAAACACCTGGTACATTATTAGGATTTATCTTTAGAAATGGCTATTATTGTTAAAGTAAGAAGTGTATTTCATTTCTATATTTACTATATACAATAGTTGCCATTTTATTATCATTCTAACAGATTGTGAGTGTGATTTTTTGTACTGCGATTTATCTAATGCATTTGGTGTAGAATAAAATATTGAATATTGTAGAGCTGAAAACATTAAAGACACATAACTATAACTATCTTTTATTCTACTTTCTACAAGCCTTTGACCTTTTAGAGACTGCTTTCCATATTTCCCTATATTTTTCAGAAAAGGAGTGAGATCACTCATATGTACAAGACAAAGTCAGGTGATCAAACTGGATCTACCACAGAGGTGCATCGTGGTACAAGTCACAGCTGTTTCGTAAGAGCTGAAATGTTCTGGATGGTCTAATTCCCACTGCCCAAAGCCACATGGGAGCTCTACGTCCTGCCAGAGAGAATTGGCTCAATCACCATGTTAAACGAGACTTTAGCTTAGAATTACATTTCATCTGGGTAGAGAGGCTCCAGGTAATCAATGCATCTATGTAAAAAGCCATGTTGTTAAAAATGCAATGTAAGTCGCTTTGGATAAAAGCGTCAGCTAAATTACCTGTAATGTAAAGAACATATAAAAATAATGACGTTACATAGAATGAAATGGCAAAAGTAGTGACCGGTTAACCAAGGTGCTGATCCTGTAGCTTTCTCAGCTAATCATCAGCATAAGAAATTGGCTTTATAAAGTTAGCTACCTTTTTGGTATTTCTTTAATAGAAGAAACACCCTGCCTAATTCGTAACAGTAAAACTATGTCATGTAGGTGGTTTCAAATAAAGTACATTGCAATGACCAAGACAAGTAGTATTCAATCATTACAACTTAAAAGCAACTCTCATATAGCAGATGTTTAAATGCAGCACTTGGAGTAGTTTTAAGTGGGAGGGAGTAATACAAAACAAGGCATGATGAAAGGAGACCAGGCCAAGGTGTTTGAGTATAACCTACCTGTTGTAGAGGAGGATATCTGGAACCCAAACCAGGTTAGAAGGGAAGCGCAGATTCTGCACCCCAGGGTAACTCTCTTGATTCCACGAAAGGTAAATGTCTGTCCAATGCTGAAGCAACAAAGTGGGTGAGGTAAGGTAGGAGCATCGTCACAAGCACACAAGACAACAAGAGAGAGAGCAATGAAAAGAACAGTTGCAACTGCATATATAATCTGTGCCTGGAAGAATATTTCTTAAAATACAAAACACATTCTTTTGCCTGGCTAATATTTCAACAACTGTGGGCTCAGTTTGTCTCCAGCTCTGCTAACGAGGCCTGGCAGTGAACTCTTGCCAAGCCGACAGTTGTTGGCACTGACCCCTGCGCTGCATGTTGAGCAGGAGGCCAACTGAGGCCAGCGTCAAAACTGAGTATTTAAAGACAAAGGAAGTGACAGTGTTGCTTTCTTGCCTTTTAATGATTTACAATCCATATCAAGATGATGTGTAGAGTGGTATACACATTAGCGTATTTTTTTTTGCATGTGTTGGTTTTGTGGTTTGTGTGTGTGTGTGTGTGGCATACAGTATGTATAACTTTATAGATGGAAGCCCTCAGATGTTGCAGCCAAAGAGCACATTCTCAATGCAGCAAACACAGTTCCATCGCTGATGGGTCCTCTGTCCACATCTGTTTTTTATACATCTGTGTGGCACGGATGCTCATATGCATATGGATGGTGTGCAATGTGTAGTTTTCTGTTGCATGAATGGGCTCTTGGCATTGTCAATGAGTGCATGTTTCCATGCGCATACCTATGAATTTGTGTCTTTGTCAATGTGAGTAACCTTACAATGAAAATTATCCTACACAGATGGTGCCTGACTTTCAAAGAGATGCCATGCATCTAAAGAGGCTGACATATGTCTCCGCTCACGCAGCTAATGACTTAATCACTACACTTGTCATCCGTGGCCTTGGCTGTTTGTTGCTACGGATCCCTCCTTTCACGTCGCTCACGTTGGCTTGGAAAATCACAGCTTACTGCCAACAGAACCATTTACAGCTCACTAACTTTGTAGTCTGTCAGGAAAAGACAAGGAGGACACTGGACTACGGGAGTTAACAGCTTTCTAAGAATAGGTCTGGAGTTACATAACAGGAATTTTAAAAAGCGTCACTAATTTGAAACAACTAGGTTCTCATTAAGGGAGTGCAGAATTAATCTGCCCGAAAGATTTAGGATGTTACTCTTTGTAGTAGTGTAGGATAAAATTAAGCACCGTAGTTAGAACTCTTGCACGACAGCTAACATACAAAATAGTGAAGCATTTGTCATTTGTAGGATCTTTTTTGTGTGCATGTTATATCCTCCCATTACAAAGCCCCCTTAGCCAGACCAGACCAGAGAGGAAAGTGTTACCAACAGTGATAATGGGATAACGATGTGCTAATAGATGACACCAATTTTAAGATTTCTCAAGTTATAAAAATCAACAAAAAAAAGAGGATTATATCGATGGTGCTCACAGCAACAAGTACATCTATTTACATACTTGAACACATGTTTCCATAAATACTGTAATAATCCCTCTAAATAATGTTCAGCCTTCATTGTAAAAGGATTTAAAGGAACTATTTATTTGCTGCAAATCATCTGCAGTCAAACCCGTTGATCTCTAGATTATCAAGATTAACAGCAACACGGCTCCTGGAAAACAACTGACACAAAAAAAAAAACATTCCATTTACTTTCATTACACTCAAATGCAGGCAGGGGTTTCTGAGATCAACATATCAAAATGTGTGTACGTCACTTTTGGGGTAAAATGGGTGAAATTACCCTTTAAATGTCACTCTCCCAAAAGGCATTAAAGCTTGCCATGTAGGAGAAAACAAAAGTAACAGTCAGTTGTTCCTCCGGGATGAAACAAACGTGAACCTGACACTTCACTTCACTTCAGCCTTTGTGTGAGGCTCTTAATGTACTTTACAATTCTCCTTCAAAATCTGCTGCATCTGCAAAGCTTCTTTGAGCCATCACACCAAAGTGGATGCCCACATTAACGAGGTGACTTCTTGAATAATTGATTTCTTGTAAGCCAGTCGGAAACTAACTCACTCCGTCAGTGTAGTGAACGCTGTGACATCAACAAAGGGCCTTTTGACAGTGGCCGCGGAGACAATCCGCATACGTTACCTAATGTAACATTTTCCAGAGCATTGTAAAGCACGTTTCCTCTTACAACAAACAAATCAATCCATAATGGGATAGTTGTCATGCAGTTGAGCTGAGTAGCTTTTTACACGTCCGTAAATGGCCGTACTTGATGCCGATAAGATCCCGTCTCATATATCAGGAATCAGGAAAAATGTATTGCCATAATATGTCAGACATACAAGGAATTCGACTACACATTCCAAAAATAAACCAACAACAATTATATTAGTGATCACACAAAAAGTGAAGAAGTGAAAAAGAAAAGTGGACGCACCAGCTGCAGCCAGGCATTTGTGATCATCACCTGGTTCTTCTCATCCTGCAGGGGAAGGGGAGGGAGAGATAAGGAGAATAATCAGCATGGAGGAGACGTGGCAGATAGCAAGGGGAATGTAAGAAGAACAAAAAAAAAGAAACCGTGTGTCTGTTAAAACAGCATTTTTTCTGCGCTGCTGATCGGACTCCGTTGTGTGCTTCACAAAGCACGTTCTTCTGTTCTGTTGTCGTGTGCGTGGTGCAATCAGCTTGCAATCATTGAGATTTGCCTTTAGTTTCAAGGTTGCTGTGTTTTGGCTCTATTTTTTGTGCCGAACCTCTTTTTTTGTTGTCATTTGTAAGATGCTGCTCAATTTTTGGCACTGACATACAGTACATACGCAAACATTAGCAGCATCGTAGCCTTACAGTTGACTAAAGTGTGACTAGTTACGGAAACCTTGGCATGGTTGTTAGCTGCATAAGGCACACGGTGGCCCTTCCCCTGACTGGCAGGTGACCAGTCTCGCGTTGGTCTGTCAGTCTGCTTGTGTATCGGTCATTATTCATGGGGATGAACTCTGTGTGCGCCATGAAGCTGCCCCAGTTTCCTAGTTAGAGAAACCCAGGAGCAGATGGAGGAATCAAAGGCCACCTTCCATATGCACAAAAGACACACACACAAAGACACACATAGACAAACAGCCCAGTAAACTTATCATGTAGAGATCTAAAAAAGCAAAAGTAAAAGTATGTTTCTTTTCTTTGGTTTCTGTATATTACTTACTCACTCACTTACTGTGTTTAATAGAAAAAAAAGTCTAATTCCGTCCAAAATTTTAGTATTTGCATGACTCAGCAGGGTAATGTGCATGCCAATTAAAGTCTCAATGGCAGTTGAGAGTCACTGGGAGAGGCGGAGAATATGGACTTGATCTTGTCTGCTTTCAAACTACCCGGTGATTCAGGAGAGGTAATTGGGAAGCATCAAAGAGTCGTGGCCTGGGGCATATCAAGTGTGTTGTCAGCAAAAAATGTATGTTTAAGTATTGATTAGGAAGTATTCTGTTTTCTATGAATGATGTAAAGAGCAAAGGAACTCAGAGGCAACCCATTGCTTTGCTAACTGGATATAATCAGTTATATGAGCCGTAAAGTAAGAGTGGAACCAATTACGAGTGCCGTCATCAGCACCTGAAGACTGCAGTTTGTATTTTTTTGATATATTGCAGGAAATGACTTTGAGAGGTGGATGAAGAGGGCAGTAAAAACATTATTTTTTATTAATTTCTTATTTATTAACACAAGACTGAAGTTTACTCTCTGACCCGTGCTAATTGGAGTTACGTGCTTGACTTTTTCTCGGCTGCGTTATTTGCTTCAATTGCCAAACCATTTCTACAATTTGTATTTATTCAACGCAAGCAACCAATGTACCAGTGATGATGTTGCCAGGTAATGAACAGAAACAGAAAGGTCCTGTGGTGCCACGAAATAACAACCGGTTGAAGGGACAGAAAAATAAGTTTGCTCTTTCAAAGACGGATAGTTTCAGTTGGCTGCAACTGGTGCGAAATCTGTTTAGGGGTCAGAGGAAGAATTCTGTGAAGTGAGCGCAAAGTGTGTGTGTCGGCACTGCAGTCGCTGTTGATGAATCGGAAAAAAACATTTGATCAAATGTGTGCAGCTTTAATTTATCTTTGTCGCTGTTGATTTTGAATAAATTCCACACACATCAAACCATTTCTACACTTTAGCCGTGCAAACACACTCACCACGTCGATGATTTGTAGCAGTGTGAGGCCAAGTTCCACAACAATGGGTGCAGAGTCGTTTTGGACGGGTCTTTCCAGGCGATTGTAGTTTACCATCAGGTCTCGGTACAGCTTCCTTTGGTACACACCGCCATGGCAACCTGGAACGCAACGAGCTCCTCATCAATTCAGTCAGCTCTAACTGTGATTCTTTACAAACGTGAAAGTGCAAAGAAATCATTAATGGATCATTGTTATCCATTTTAATCTAAGAATCTATCTAATTGTTCAATTGTGAAATAAAAGTTTATATTTCAAATAAAAATGAACTGCAGGTCCATTAAAAAATGTGTGTATCCAATAAATACTAAAGCATTAAAGAGAAAAACATGGACATGCAATTCATCTTAAATAAGTAAGTATGAACGATTTGTTTTGCTGACAACATGGACACATGTGCATGATCTAAATTTGCATAATGCAACGTAACACACTCTTGGCTTATTTCAGTAGGTCAGTAGAGAGCAGCTGCAGAGAAAATTGTTAATAGCCCGAAAAAAATCTGAATTGTTGTTTTCACATTTCTTTGTGTATCATATTTGAGCTTTTCAATGTTTAACGTCCTCAAGCGAGTTTGTTTTTCAGATTGTAGTAAAAATGATTAACAAAATAATTATAATATAATATTAATATAATAATATATATAATACTATACAATAACTATTAATAATAATAATAATACATATCAATAATAACTATTACTAAATACAAAAAATAGAATGTGTATATGAATATATGCTGGAATGGAATGCTTTGATTTCAACGTCAAGAAAGACTTTATTTTTTTCCTATTAATAATATAAGACTATTGATTCAATTATTTGTAACTCTTTTAGTTTTTTTAGTCTTCAGCCTTGAAACACTGTCTAGGAGCTTGATAAAAGGATGACACAAAATGCCCAAAAGTATATTAAAGGTTCTTTAGTAAATAAGCCAAATTACCATGCTTCAAACTAAAGCTGTGAACAGTAATCTTATCAGAAACCACAGTCCCCTTGGATGCAGATGAGTCACAAATTCATGTTTTTTTCATTTAATATATGCACAGCGTCGTAGCGGCTCAAACACACACAAGTTGCAGACTCAGATCATTTCAAGACTGTATCCAGATCACATTTTGCACACTACCCTGAGAATATAATCAAAAGGACTGTGTCTCAAACGGAGGGTGGTTGTAATACAAATTGGCTGAACGGTAGGAATGTTGTAAAATGTCATAAGAGACAAAGCCTTCACTTTATCGAAGAGTACAATAGAAATCTCCACAGTACCTCAAGACATTTTCAGATAGAAGATATTTCAAAGATGTTTACTTGTGGTGCTGAGGGAGGCTACCCGATCAAACTGCCCTTGAATCTATTGAGCAGTTCAACTACCTGGTAAAGTGTCTGTGTCTTTATATTATTCTCTGACTCTTTGAGGCAGGGGAAAAAAGTTGAGTCTAACATGGTTGTTTGAGTAAAACGTGTATTCTGTAGAAAGAATAGGATCTAAATAAGCCTACAGAATAAGTGTAGAGATTCAATAGAGATTCAAATTTAAAGAAATGTAATCTCTTCTTCTACCTCTCACTCTGGTCTGCGTAGATGACATGACAAATATGCGAACTTTCAAATTTAGTAATCCAGAAGTTTACACTAGTAAGAATGGAACCATTTGAAAGTTTAACATGAAGAATGGAGGCGATGAATTGAGCGTTACATTAAATTGCCATTCTGAATTAATACTACGACATATTTTCTTCAGAAGCAGGTCTCAAAATAAAAAACGTCAGACAGACAGACAGACAGACAGACATGTTACAATAAACGCGCTTTTCTGTTGTGCATCTGAAGACCCACCTTTACAGCAGAAGGTCGTCCACAGGTAAACGCCAATCAATACAGGTCCGGCGCACCTGCGAGGCTCCATGGCAGCGACGCAGCGCGAGTCCTTCTGCAGCCCGCTCGGGATGTCAAACTTCGAGGGAGGGCACGCGCGCGCTCGCGCTCCCTCTCTCACGCACGCACGCACTCTCCGGTCCACTGTCACCTCACGAGTCCCTTTAGATTCCGCTCTCCTTCTCCCTTCTCCGTGCTCAGCTGTATTTGACATGAGACACCTCGAGCTGTCCCTTCGCGTGACAGCCACCTGTCCGCTTTCTGCTCATGCGCAGTGCCGTCGGCCTCGTCGGTCCGTGATGATGAGTAAAAAAGAGGGATTAACACAGCGCGAGGGAAACCTGCCCCTTCTAGTTTGGAAAAATACCGACATTTTTAAATACATATGTATGTTTAATATATTTAATATATATGTTCAAGCTTTGTTTAGCGCATGAATGGCGTCCCTCAGTTTGTGTTGAGTGTCAATAATCTGTCACTGACCTTATCCTTTTTTGCAAGTAGTAAGGCCCTTTATTGCAGTTTTGCACTACGTGGGGTTTCCTCATACATGTGTTCCTTCTCTTCTTTTAATCTCCCATGGTCCCATACTCTTTCCCCCTTCTCACCCATTCAATCCTTCTGCATGTTATCATTTTATTCTATCCATTATTTTCTTTGCGTTCTTTGCAAATTTGCTTTTCAATATGCCGCTTTTGTTTGCCCTGGAATTCTGAATATTTTTGTACAACAAGAAGATTCAGGTTGAATTTACAAACGGCACAGATGTTGAATTGATCTAGAAAACTCATGTCATGTTAGCATGTCCCTACTGGGTCTCAGACTATGTGACAGCCGTCCAATGGGTGTATTTTGCTGCATGTGGCCAGATGTTATGATGCACAGGTAAACTGTTGGTAAAACTGCTCATCTGTGCCACCTTTGTCATCGTCTTGGTGCTGGTCTCACAGCTGTTTTTGTCCTGTTAGTCATCCCATTGACTGACTCACAATTCCACATCCGTTTTCTCCTCCCTTTAACCCCCTCCCCATCTGCTACACCAACTCATCCATTGCCTCCTCCCCCTTCTGCTCCACCTCCCATCTCTCTTCTCCCCCTCTGTTTCCTCTTCTCTTCTATTCTGCACGGTTCTGCCTGTGAGCATCAGATGAAGCGATGTCCTCAGGCCATTGTGAGCAGTGCCTCTCTGACCCTCACAATATATCACTCCCCCTCTCTCGTTCGCATCATTCTCACTCTTCAGTGTGCAAATTCATGTCTCCCCTCCTTGTCCTTCCGTTTGCCTCCGGCTTCAGTCTGGACGCAGTAGTGTACGTGTAGACTGCTATCAGCTCGCATTAAATAAATGTCCTTTTGGATCAGCCTGCAGGGATTGGAGTTGGTACGGTGCGCGTGTACATCTGTGTGTATTTGTGAAAGTGTAGGTGTACGTTTTTCTGTGCGTTTTCCTTAATGTGTACCTGTTCATTTACAGTCCACTATAATGTATCCAAGTAAAGGGCCCCTGTCTCCCTTTACCACATATATATTGATATACCACATTGTACACAGTGACCCGGAGCCCATTCGATTAATCTTCTAAACAAATAAATAACATCTGGAGCATGATCATCAAGCATCGCTGCGCATATAGATATTCGCTGAGGTGTATGTCACAAATCAGCACCTTGTTAAATCATTGTGCTATTCATGTATGTGAACGTACATTGCTTGAATGCAGCTTCTGCCAAATAACATTTTACCTGAATTTGCGGCTGCCCTTGACTTTATACTCCTTTATAACACGATTCAGCTCATTGTTTGGTGCCGCGGCTACAGCAGACAGCTGTTCTCAGTGAGACGCTTCTAACAACTGGCTGGTGAACGCGGTGGAGCCTGTAGAGGCTGGAGAGAATCACATTTCACTCAGAGGCTGCATGGTGGAGACCAAAAGTAGAGCTAAAAAATATGCTTCACCATCTAGCTGATAACATCAAAACTTTTATACTCCTATCTGATAACAAGCAAAACTCTTTAACCCGAATTTAACTAACTTGTGTATACTCTCATTACGGGAGACAAAACTAAAGGATGATCGTTCCCAGAGTAGGCTGAATTGTCATTGAAAGGCAGTAACAGAGAAGAGACAGGAAAAGTAAGGCAAGCAAGTGAGCAGGTTTTGCATCCCATAAAAACAATATGACGTTGGTTTTACTGCCGGTCTTAGTCATGTATTTGGGAGGCTATTACATACACACACACAGTTTGAATGTTTGACGTTATAAGTAATCGCTCATAACAGCATTGTTACTCTGGTCTTTGGCAGTTCAATCAGTAACTGAATGCATGATCAGCTCTCTCCCAGAACCACCGAGCCAGGACTCTACCGTGTAACTTCCCCATGATGTACAACCAGGGGGTGCTTCATTATGAATGAGACTAGCCTTGTGGAGAATGGGTTTTATCCTTTCCATCCACATGACTTTTAATTTTGCAGCAGTGATGACAAATACGAGCCACGCAATTTAGCTTTTCTACCAGGAAATTCCCCAGAGGTCTGATATGAACAGCGTTTCAATCTTTACACTTAACTGCTTGAAATTAACTGTAAATAAGCTTTTATTGTGTATTATAATCATGTGTGTCTGTCAAGCACTATTTTAAATGTGTGTTTGATGTTGCAATACCTCTTATAGTGGTACAATGGTATATATTGAATATAGACAGCAGTAGAGCATTTAGTGAATTGTGGATTAGGTGGCCCATAAAGCTAAAACTACTATTGAGTCGAGATCTCTATGAATATTCTAAGTAGTGTATAAAATATTACTTTACTTACTTAATGTATAAATGCACTTCTTAGTTCAGTTGATGAACATTTCTAGTCTTTTGCATAAACCACACTCGCTGACTGGCTCTGGGGAGAGTATTGCTGTTATGAAACTTCTTTACTTTTTGTTTTGTGGGATGTTTGTACAGACATTTACGGCCCTCGGAGCATGACTGCAATTGACTTTGATAATTTATGGAACCCTGAGGGGTTCACATCCTACTCTGTCTCACTTCATCTGTCCACACAGAGACACTCACACAGACACGCGCTGTGCACTTCTAGTGCAATCCTCACTTTGTCACACCCAAACCAAGAGATACACACACACAGACGCACACTCACACACACCTGTCGGCCTGAGTTAGATATGCAACTTTAAATAATGGAGTGGGCTGAGATCAGACTGCTAAAGTGGAGGACACCAGGAAAGAGACTTTCACTTAAGCATGGCAGACATATTTTTATTAAGAGAACAAACTCTCTCTCTCTCTCTCCCTCTCTCTCTCTCTCTCTCTCTCTCTCTCTCTCTCTCTCTCTCTCTCAAACAACTCGGCCACTTGTAACCGTATTTGGTGGCTGACAAGAAGCCAGAATGCTAAACAAGAGAGTCGCAGCAGCTAATAACTAGAAGGTTGGCAGCTAAGACAGAAGAAACTCCGCCAGCCGGGAAAATAAGCATGTGGGAAAATAATGAGCAACTGTCTCCTGTTGTAATTAATATGATGATATGCACTTTCCCACAGCCTACAGGTTGGGAAAGATTACAGCTGATTATACGGGGGTGTTAATGCTTTAAGAGCTACACCCCACGCCAGCACACATTTTCCTAAAGTAAAAAAAAAAAAAATCAACATTACAGGCTTTATAGAGCATCTGCTTTCCCCCACTGGATGTCAGCACTGCTCCGTTCCATAGTTATGACCGCAGCTTCTCTCATGCGGGATCTGTGTGTGAAGATACATCATTTGTGTTCTTAACAACTGACTCGTTCTATTTGGGTGTGCATTCTTTTATTTGAAGTAGCCTACTTCTTAACACATCATCACAGCCGTTAAAACCAAATCAACTTTTAAAGAGATGTTTGCTGCCGTCTAGTGGTGGTTGTGTCTCATTACAGCCACAAACTAGGTTGGTCCACTCCATCTGGCAGTCCAACGTGCTTGCTTACAGTAACAGATTGACCCTATCGCCGGATGAAAAGCACTCTTTGTCTGTTGTTTTTCACTCAGTAATTACCAAGCACTTGGTGATAAATTGTAGGGTTGTACGAGGAACTTATTTATCGTCTGTGTATTGCTTACAGTAGATGTGAACAGATAAAGGGCCTCAGTTGTCCATCACAAATACGTATGTCCCTTTCAGGACCAGAGTATTTAATGAATGATGTTTTGTGTTGCAAACGGCATTAACAAACCAATCAGCAGTTAATCAATTTAACAAAAACAAATTGCCATGCTGCAAAGCTGCAGTCCTCGCTGGGGTTGTTTTCCATATTCACAGGCTGTTAGCATTATGTAAGCTTCAAAAACAGAACTGGATTGTTTTTAAATTAGATTTCTTTTAATTATCATCATCATTACAGCATTTACAGCTGGCTGGAAAACATGGCGCATGTGACACAGAAAAAACAAATCCTTTGAGTGAAATAATAAATGTTGCTGCTTGTATATTTACAACGTTAGAGTTATACAAATGATCAAATCAAACAAGCCATGATAACCTGCTTGTTGCTTTCATTCCTTAGCACTCCCACTTAGCACCTCCCAATGAATGACAACTAGTCGTCACAAACCATACTTGAGAACTACTACTCTAAAAGAAATATGCAGTGAATGAGTTTCCCCATTAAGTTGCTGTCAAAGAAAACAAACTGGAAAACAAGACGGAGCCGTTGGAGAGTATTCAGAGTTTGTGTGTGTTGGTCCGTCAAGGTGTACTGAAGTACATCTGCAGAGCAGGAGTGAAGATCAGAACAGTTCCCAGGATGGACACTGTGAGGAAAGCCCACAGGAGGATCCTGTCCAACACCTGAGCCACGAACTTCCAGTCTTGAACAACCTGAATGAGACATGGTGAGAAATGTACACAGGCACACACAAAAAAGAGCATCCACATCAACTACTTTTTTTTATAATAACATTTGTCATCAAGGAAACAAGAGCGATTCATTTAACAAATATTAAACTCTAACATTTGTATGAAATACTTGTATATAATTGTCCAAATCAGCAAATAAAAAGTAATTTGATCAACTTCAGTTCATCCTTGAATCCGAGTAAACGTTTGTGAAATATTCAAAGAAATTCCCTACAGGTGCTGCTGTAATAGAGTATTGAAAAAAATGGGACCCAAAGGCAGAAAACCCTAAAACGTATTGCCTCAGGTCACGGCTGTCGCCAGAGGCTGCAAGACGCATGACAATAGAATGTAAAACAACAGGCAGACAGAGACTTTCATCCCT